AAGACACTTAATCCTACACAGTTTTACAGAGTGTATGATGCCAAATATATGGACGTTTTCCCCTATAAATATCGTCAAATCCAGAGGGAACCGTATAGTTCAACATTCGCTTCTGAGTGGTGTAAACAAGCATTTCAACCGAAAAAGATGAAACTTTTATTTTTGGCACTTTTTGCATTGGTGTTGGCCGTTCAGGTAATTCACTTTTGACAACACTTTTTCGAGAATCCTAGAGAGACATATTTTTTCTACTCAAGTTTTTCAATTTACTTATATCTTTTTCCTTTCATTTCACCAGTTCATCAATGGTGCACCAACGAGGAATAGGTTACAAAGATTCGGATTCTGCCTGACGCCAGAACAACAAAAAGAGGATATTGAAACGAAAATTGTTAAAATACAAACAAAAACGGACAAGACTGTTGCAGAAATACGAAGGACCGAAACTGTAAAGGACGAAGCTGATTATAAAGTCGATGATGCGAATGCCAGAGGTGACGAGAAAATACAAAAACAAAAACTAAAGCTATTGATGTTAGGACCAAAGCTCAAATAAATTGTGTTATCGCGCAATTTGAAACTAGAATATTTGATAATGCCTATTATTTTTATTAAATTTCGCACAATATTATCGCACATATTTTCTAAGAAAAAAAATGTCGAACAATTGATATATTGGTGGAATATTGGTTGTAACCTGTGCACGTGTGCCAATTTAAGCAAATATTTTTCACTCTGGGAGCTTTGAGTGGTGTTTATTTCATTTCCGTTTCAAAGTCGATTCAAAGTTAAAAAATAACGCCAGTTGGATCGTCGTTTACATGCGATAAATATGAATATTAATGATTGAACGACATGATCCATACCTTTGCCTTACATTCAGGTTCAGGAATTTCAATTTCACCTGTGCACGTGTGGCACATGTCGTATGCATGTTTTTACGTTTTACACCAAATGGATCGCATCGAAAATACCAGATGTTTACCTTTATTCCTCCATCATCTTCATTAGGGTTTGAAAAACAACGCATGCGGATCACATTCCAATAGCCAATTTAAACCAATATTTTTCGCTTTTGCATGAAAATTTCTCAATTTTATTTCGATAAACTTCTTTGTTCATTTTTACTCATTGATTTATGCTGTCCAAACTATTCTTGAAGTTGCCCACAAAAGTGGCTAAGAGATCGAGCGAATGGCTACTTTTTTTTAAAGAGAAAATACAGTAAGTATACGTGAAAATGTAATGCATCAAAAAAGTCTACAGCTCGAGTTTGCTCAATAAGCGGCATCAATGCCAGGGCTGGAATTCTAAGTCATTCCACCAAAATCGTTCGGAATTATTTTTTTCGTAAATAAGACCATATTGGAGTGAAAGACAGAGATTCCACTATTTTTCAGCATCCCACCGGAATTATTCCGATAACTCAAGGAAGAGTGGATTGTGTGAAAAATAATTCCGGTGGGATGCTGAAAAATAGTGGAATCTCTCTCTTTCACTCCAATATGGTCTTATGTACGAAAAAAATAATTCCGAACGATTTTGGTGGAATGACTTAGAATTCCAGCCCAGAATGTTTTCTTCAATTCGACCATTTTTGATATAGTGGCCCAAAAAATAAGTTGTGAAATATTTGTCGTTTCGTCCATTGCCACAGAGAATGCTTTACATTCTTCCAAATCACGTTTTAAATTCGCCTCGATCTCAGCTTCGATATCAACGATACGGGGACTAATAGTTTGATGACTGAGCGGTAACGTTTTCATTTTATTAAGCAACGGTGCTTTCAATTTTTCGTCCGAATGCTCACATAAAGTGGCAACGGTTGATTGCATCAACTATTTGTAGAATTCGCCATCCGAATCAGATTTTCCATGCTTTGCAATGGTGAAAGTAATGTTGTGTTGTTATTGTGCACCTTCTAAAGCTGAAAATTTGAAATGTTGTGCAGAATGTCCGTTACTATCTAAAAAAATAATCGAATTTTCTCCAAAAAATATTTTTTTTTCCATTTTTATTGCTTTTGGCGCGATGGGACATATGTGTCCTATTGGTCGGTAAAGGTAAATAAATACCACTGATTTCCCTGTATTTGAACCATTATTCGCGAATTTTCAAACACGAAAACTTACAAAAAAATCATTAAATTCGTGATTAAATGAGCACAACAAAGCATAATTCAAACCATTTTCGGATCCAAACGACTCTAAAGAAAAATTTAAAATGAAAAAGATTTTACACGTAGTTCTTATGGGAGACATTGTTTTTTTCATAGAAAAATCGTTACCGTTACCGACCAATGGGACACACTTTTAAGGTTTTTGGGGTCGCTGAACACTAGGGGTGATCAATTTTCAAAAAAAAAAGGATTCAAAATTTAATAGTGCGGGATCGAAAGCACTTTTTTGTTATATAGTACCTGGTGTCACCCCGGATTTTTTTTTTAAATCACCTAAAAAAATGACCATTTTTCGACATATTATCGCAATTTGCTCTAAATGTGATGTATAAACATACCGTTTTTTGGTTGTAATTTAGTAGCTCGTAGAAAACTACGTTGAATAGGATCGATTCACAGCGATTTTTTTCAGGATATTAAAAAAAAAAGTGTCAATTTGCCAAAAATCGCCGGAATTTGTCATTTTTCTGTATATTTGCCCATTTATGGTGATCCAGTCCACTATAAATCAATCTGAAAATATCTCTATCCGACTCAGTTTGTTCCTAGCTATCGATATAACGCCATATCACAACTCAAAATGTGCCTCTGGACATGGATAGAGCAACAAATATTCGAAAATCACCTCAAATTTGGCCATTTTTTTCAATTAAAAATTCTAAAAGCCAAATTATAGCCAACATACGTACGAAAATGTGTCTATATCCAGCCAATTTTAGACGAGGGATCGATTTCTAGTTTCATTTGTTACAGGTTTGTGTGATTTTTGTGTCAAAAAGTAAGATTTTCTGGGACCAAATTGTGCAAATCACGACGATGAGCTTCAGTTTCACGGCTAAATCGACCCATTGAGCAAACAATTTCTGCCTTTGCTACTTTTGAACATCTAGTATGATCCCTCACGAACATTTTAATTACCTACATGACCAAGTCGAGTGATGTTTTCATATATTTCTAGCCGCATATTCGGTTGATTCGATTTCAACTCGATTTCAAAGTTATTTTTCTTCGAAAATATGGGGAGTATTACCAGACAAAAACTCTGAAAATTGGCTTTTTGAGGTAGCTCCCGAACAAAAGTTACGTTTTTCATGCATTTTGCTATGAAAATATCATTTTTTGTTCGAGAGGTACCTCAAAAATCATTCTTAAGAGCTCCTGTTTGAGTAGATTCCCAATTTTTTTCGAAAAAAATAACTTTTTGCTAAGACATCTATCCAAAAAGTGTATTTCTAGGGTACCTCCCGAACAAAAAATGATATTTTCATAGCAAAATTCATGAAAAACGTAACTTTTGTTCGGGAGGTACCTCAAAAAGCCAATTTTCAGAGTTTTCGTCTGGTAAGACTCCCCATATTTTCGAAGAAAAATAACTTTGCACAAAGACACCCACCCTAAAAGGCCTATACTTAAGGATTTTTTGGCCAAAAATCGATTTTCTGAGAGTTGAAATCGAATCAACCGAATATGCGGCTAGAAATATATGAAAACATCACTCGACTTGGTCATGTAGGTACTTAAAATGTTCGTGAGGGATCATACTAGATGTTCAAAAGTAGCAAAGGCAGAAATTGTTTGCTCAATGGGTCGATTTAGCCGTGAAACTGAAGCTCATCGTCGTGATTTGCACAATTTGGTCCCAGAAAATCTTACTTTTTGACACAAAAATCACACAAACCTGTAACAAATGAAACTAGAAATCGATCCCTCGTCTAAAATTGGCTGGATATAGACACATTTTCGTAAGTATGTTGGCTATAATTTGGCTTTTATAATTTTTAATTGAAAAAAATGGCCAAATTTGAGGTGATTTTCGAATATTTGTTGCTCTATCCATGTCCAGAGGCACATTTTGAGTTGTGATATGGCGTTATATCGATAGCTAGAAACAAACTGAGTCGGATAGAGATATTTTCAGATTGATTTATAGTGTACTGGATCACCATAAATGGGCAAATATACAGAAAAATGACAAATTTCGGCGATTTTTGGCAAATTGGCACTATTTTTTTGAATATCCTGGAATAAATCGCTGTGAATCGATCCTATTTAACGTAGTTTGTTACGAGCTGCCGAATTACGGCAAAAAACGGTATGTTTAAGCATCACATTTAGAGCAAATTGCGATAATATGTCGAAAAATGGTCATTTTTGAGGTGATTTTCAAAAAAAATCCGGGGTGACACCAGGCACTATATAAGAAAAAAGTGCCGGAACAAAATTTTCATCTCTCCTCATGATCTTTCGATCCCGCACTATTAAATTTTGAATCCTTTTTTTTGAAAATTGATCACCCCTACTGAACACGAATCTGTAATCAGAATTGCAAAATTCTCAGCCGTTCAGTTTTGGTCGTCAAAGGGTTAACGTGAGTGGTGGCTTCGCTCTTTGATGGTGGCTCGGAAAAGAGAAACACAAGTATTATCGACTGGCAATTGGAAATTTTGAACAACTACTCGGAAGGTAAATCGTTGCATGTGAATCACATGAAATGATTGAAGACAATTTACGGTACACAGTTTATCGGTGAGTTTTAAGGTTTTATTTTATTTTATTTTTCCTACTTTTTCTTCGTAACATTTTTTTTTGTACTGAGCTTTTGATTTTATATGATAAATTTCAAGCCATGTTTGGTTTTTTGTTTTGACTTGTTTATTTGAATATTACTTCTTCTTCCATTTTCATTCAGTGGATATCTGGATATTGATATAGGAATATTTTTTCCATTCACATGAAATTCTTGAAAGTTTTCATATAAAATCAAACTTTCAGTTGAAAGTACATACAAATGGAATAAAAAAAAAACAAAGTAAATAGCAATTACACATTTTTGGAATGCAAAATGATAAGAGAACGGATTGGGTTCAAGAGAAAAATGTGAAGAAAGCATTTAAAAAAAATCCCCAATGATATGGTGGATGATTTGGTTTGATGAATCACAGAACCTACTACGCATTGAATTTATTATCAATGAGCTCAGCACACCACTTTTGGCACATAAATCGAATGCGTTCTACCAACATAGATTTTGAAAATGAAAAATCATTCGATTCCATCTGCTAAGTTGATGTGTTGAGCTTGGATGATGAATTCAATACGAGCTGATGAATCAAATTCAAGATATCATATTGAATATTATGCATTAAATATATGGTTGCCGATCTGAACGAAAGCGATCACAACAAATACCGATGTCGTAGCAACATTTGATCGAATGGCAACGTTTTCATATTCACTTATGGTTTTCTTATAAATATTTATATCTTTGGCTTCTGTCAGAATTTCTACCATTTTGTCTTTCAGCTTGTCCATATAATTTGGAGCTAGGTCTTTTTTATACTTTGGATTATTCGCGTACTTGTCTCGCGCCATAAACTGTGGAACAAGAAGTAAATTAGATTTATCAATGGAACAAGAAACAAAACAACTTTAGTCATAGAAAAATGAATTTGGAAATGAAAAAAGATCAATTTCAATGTGGTCAGATACAAAAATTGTATTCTAAGCAAATTGTGTTTGCGAGAAAAATCTTCTTCTTCACAAACTTTATTTTGTTCTTCTACTTGTACAGTGTACACACTTCCATTGATTTAAACTCAACTTGGTTTGTGAAAAATTAAAAGTAAAAATCGAAGTTGAGCCAAATTGAAAGAAGAATTATTTGCTGTATTGGTATTTCAAAAACATTCACGTACCTCATTGGACGCATTTTTGATATAATTTGTCTCCATTTCACTGAAATCTTTTTCTTCGATGAAAGATTCTGCACTTCTGACTTCGTTTAAGATTCTTTCTTTAAATTTGCCGGAGATATTTTTCATCAAATTCTCGTAGTATCGTTCAACATTAGACTGAAATGCCAGTGGAAAATAAACCCATGGAAATTATTCATTGAATAATATTCAATTTTGAAACATAGTTTACAATTAGGTGACCGCAACTCATTTTTTTTTACGAAACGTTGGACAACCGTTCCATTTTCCATTCAAAATATTCAATTTCATTCAAACATTCGATAAAAAATGGGCTAAAGATAAACCAATGTTTCCTTGAATAAATCCTCAAAGGAATAAAATACATACACCGAAGCATAATTTGTTATTCGCATTGGTTTCATTGAAAGTACTAAATTCTTTCTCAATACTCTTGTCAAGTGCCGTCGAATATTCACGTACATAATCATCTTCGTTGAATTTTTTTCGAGCCGAAAACTGTTTTTTTTTTCAAATGAAAAACGAAAATTATTCAAAAATTATGCTGGAGTTTTTTTTTTAATTCTTGAAAAATCGTTAAAAAATGTTAAAATGAAAAAAAAAAACGAAACTTTAAGGGTAAAAATGTAATAAATTTTAAAATCCAACCATTTTCATTGCATCACACTTAGATTGGTTATGAATTGTCAGTAGTTCGTTGTCGAAAAAATAAGACACGTTATTTGTGGGATTGCATTTTTTGACCGTATTCTCCATTGATGTTTTGTACGATTCCAAACTTTCCTTTTGCCATAATTCATATTTGATATTGAACATTGTCTATGGAAAAATTGATTTTTTTTTTTAAAAATTTTCAATTAAAAATTAAGAAAATGTATCTTCATATTTCAAAAATAGTATGCAACTCACTTGAGCATAACTGTACAGTTTGGGTAACTTATCGGAGTTTAACATCTCGCCAAACCGGATTAAATACGTTAAAAATTCTTTTGCTTTAATTGCATCTCCAGCCACTTTTTTCACGACCAAATTTTGTGGTGCAAACAGCGATTCGGCCAAATGATGGACATGCGCAATGAATTTTGGATTGACATTGGTTAAATTGCCATCAAATTCATATGTTTGTGTAACTGCATCACTGGGTGTTGGCATATAAAACAGATCTATGTTCTCATAATAAGTATTGTACATTCGTTTCGATTGTTCTTCTTTGTCAATCGTATCAGTTGGGGAAAAGCCTAAAAACTTATGTTTCACGTCATCTTTTTGTCGTCCAAATTCGAAATGTTCACCTTCATACGGCTTATCTCGCACAATTAAAGTCAAATTATGAAAATATTTGGAATCGGTTGAATTACGAATCTCATTTGCCATACTGCCATATCCACTGAATGTATCCAACTCATCCAGATCCTTGCTACTCAAATAACGTTGCACATTGTAACACTGTACCGATGAAGCCATCGCACTGAACGCATAAATTCGCGCATCTTTGTTCTTACTTTGATGATATTCGGCCGAATGTAATCCTTGTGTGTCAAGCAAAATGATTGCCACTTTAGTACCATTCGGTAGTGTACGTTTGAATATGTGAGGCCACACCGAAATGCCTTTCGTTCGTATCAATCCCCAATCGAAACCATTTATACATTCGTTTTTTCGCTCCCAGTTGGATACGTTCCGTTGATCACACTAATCGCCAGATGGAATAACAATTTCGGAAATATTTTCATTGTGAATTTTTGAAAACAAAAATTGTGAATTTTTGGTCAAATTCGAATAAAATTATTGTTACATTTCTGAGAAATAAATTTCATAATTTAAAAAAATCATCTAAAAATGAATTCACCATACCTTTGCTTCCAAAAACCGTATGAAAAAATTCATTAGGAAACTCTTCCCCAGGTTCACTGTGCCCGCAATTGAAATGACCGCCACTTCGCGATCTTTTACATCTTCATCACTTAACATTCGTTCCAGCTTCGACAGATTAGCTAGATGCAATGTAAATGATGTATCGTTGGCGGATCCAATTTGAAGCCCATGTCCAAAATGTGATTTTGGAATTGCGTCACATTTGAATTCACCCACTATAACTACACACAACACGCAAACGGATAACCACTTCATCCTTGCCACTGTTCCGAATAGAAAAAAATTGCTTCAACTTGTTTCTTCTTCAGTAAAAGCCACGCCTTGGAAACAATATTCACAGAAAAATTCCAACTGATTTCACTCACTTCAAATTACAAATTGAATTCAGTATTTACCCCAAGCTCTTTATTTATAGCTCTTTTATCACATACGTATTACACTCATACGATTTATGTGCGTTCAAACAGCTTAATATGGTCATTCGCTTATACGCTTTTGAACAGCTTTATATGATATTTGGATAATTCCATGTAAATTGTTGAGTAATATATATTTATGTGATTAATAATATTAATCGTCATTCAATCATCATTTGAATACAGCATACATTGTAATATTCGGTGAGTGCCACTAAAAAAATAAACGACGGAGTGAAGAAATGTATGCGCGCTATATCGTTCGTTCGTATGGAGTTGCCCGCTTCTCTTTCGCTTTGCTTCATCTCATCCGCGTGCGTCTCACTCACCAAATGAGTGACCATGCGTCTCACGCACTAGATGAGTGTGGATATTTTTTTAGTGGCACTCACCGAATATTACAATGTATGTTCCATATAAAAAGCACCATTTGATGTATGAAGGCATTTTCCATATAATCTAGCGAAGAAACCGGGCCAAATAAACGAAAACTCAACTCGAGTTTTCAAGGCAAATCCGTTGTATTTTAAGAAAAAATAACAGTGGAACTGCGAGTGTACTGTAAATTCATTGCATTTAGAATCGAAGTAGACACAGATACACACAGCTCAGATCACGTGCATCCAATATAAGAGCGTGTTTTTACATCTATAAAAGAAGGATATTCGTTCGCAGATTAGAAAAGCAATTGCAATTTTTATTTGGTCAGAGCGTGTTTTGAGCTGACGTTAGCAGCACTAACTAACGTCAGCTGCTGATATTAGCTGTTGACGAGTATGCATTGCGTTGTTTTAACGCATTTGCAGTATAAAAACGAGATATTCTTCAAACATTACAATGAGATGATTGCTTGCCTCTTCGTTTTTACACTGCAAATGCGTTAAAACAACGCAACGCATACTCGTCAGCAGCTAATAGCTCTGCATAAAACTCTGATAAAACACGCTCTGCATTTGGTTAAAAACATATATTTAAAACCCTTTGGAGATTGTTCCAAATTTAACCAATATGTAACATCGTATTCAAACCGATATTGTTTGGATTCTCTGGATAAAATCAATTTTATTGGAGGCCCAGAAGGAGATGTAAATGCGTTGAAACATTTTGAAAAACCATTTTGAAAAGTTAAAGCAGTTAAATATCGTGGTAACCGTCGATCTATTGAAAAAGACTGGTTCAATCGGATTTTTCCACAAATGCGTAAGTTACAAGAGGCGAATAATTTCTTATTCACTCAATTCATTACATTTTTATTGCTTTGATTAATTCTCATTATTTTCATTTTTCCCCTAGGTAAGTTGACTTACACAATCAATGCCGGTGAATATTATGAACATACAAACCATCAATGCATCGAAAATCATTTTCCTCATTTGGAACGAATATGTATCGAAATTTACCGTTCAGAAGAATCGAACGTGCAAAGTGTAAAGCGTGTGCTCGGTTTGAATCCACAGTTAAAATACGTACACCTTGAAGGTACTTGCTCATGGAGAGTTGTTTGTAATTCCATTGAATATCTGCAAAATATTGAAACTCTCGATTTGGCAGACAGATGTTTTGAGAATGAAGATGAAGAAATAAGCGATTTTAATGAGATCAATTTAAAGAATGTTAGAACATTTATCACTTTTATAAGTTATAGTAGATGCCAAGAAATACCATTTTATTTTGATCAATTCGAAACGTTGAAATACAATATATAAATGCTTACCAATATCCTTTCAACACAGTGGCTCAAGAGAATTTTTTTAAATTCATTGTGAAACATACAAAAATTAAAAAATTGGAATTATGTCAAGATTTGAGCATAGATGAACAATTCTTATCAAGACTTGCCACCACATTGCCGTCGCTGAAAGAAGTTATATTCAAATTCTTCGATACATCAAGTTAACCTGTTAAAGAGTTGATCCAATACTTAACTGTGTTTCCGAACTTGCAAAAATGCGGTTTTTATTTTGATGATATTGACCCATATGCAAAGTCGTGGAAAAATTTGCATGAACAATGGCAAGTTAAGCAAGTGGTACATGAACATATAGTCGAAATGCAACGAAAAATGATCCAATAGTTTGAGCAAACACTACTATTTCCCCGGTCATTTATTCTCATTTTACTTCAATTTATTGAACCAGTTGTCTTTAGTATCAAAGTAAGCGATAATTGTCCAATAATTCAAATAAAATATTTCCAATTTAAAAATTACATAGCTTGATTCTAAATAATTTGTAAAAAGAAAGCGGACTAGTTATTCAAAGGTGATACTGAAAATGGTGATTGAGATATGTTCTCAAACACAACGAGTAGAATTCATCCGATTCACTGGAGGTCAAAGAGGCACCGCAAAGTACTTATGACCATGCAAAATCAAACGCAAACATCAATGCAAATTGATGAACTAGAAAGAAGACAACTGGTAGTTAAGAAACAATACAATGTAACACGAATATATTTATTGCTAGAGATAAAATAATGTTCATAAACATTCATTATTCCAATTTTTGTATCAAACTAAAACTAAGGAATAAATCCATCAAAATAAAATTAAGAACTATCATTTTGTATGGTAATCACTAAATTTTTTAATGCATTTTGAACCTCCCTTTGTTTTTCGATTAAATCTTCCTCTTGTTGACTTATTGACTGGAGAGAAGCAATCATCTTATCCGTTTTACTAGCGGGCAGAGGTGCTGTATCTGATCCAAACTGCGGTCTTCCATCGAATGAAGGAACATCTGATGATCCGAATTCTGTAGGATTTGGTTGAATATCTGCTGGACTTACCTAGGAGAGATAGAAAAGAAACAAATGAAGTTATTAGTGTGGAACAATGATGACAAACAAAGTGATGGACTTACACCAAATGCGATTGGAAGTGTGTGGATTTCACCAGTTGATTGGATGTAACCAGTGGCTGGATCGTAAACTGTCACGGAACCACCCGCATTTTCAGGGCCATCCGGAATAAAATAATATTGATCGGGCATTACGAAGCCAACACCAGGAAAGGCGACAGTTGAATATACACTGAGGTAATAGGCTAAAAGTAATGCTTTCATTTTTTACTTCGATTTTTCGTCAGCGTTTGATTTCAGTACAATTCGGTTATTTTATTTAAATTTTGATTTTTTTTTTCGATTTTCTTCTTGGTTTTTTTCTTTAACTCTATGTTCTGAAACTGATTAAGAAGAAAATTCTTTTTATTCTTTAGTCTAAAAAAATGCAACCAATTTCGGGAGTGCAACCGCTTTATTCTGACTCAATGGTTGTTGTCGACTGTTCATTTTAACGAGCTGATATTTCGATTGCTTTCATGCTTGTTCAACATTGTTTGTATTTGAACAACAATTTGCACAGAACATTCGAGTATGTTTCATTTAAAAACAAAAGAAAATAAACAAATAAAAAGCAGCAGATTTTTTTTGGGAGGAATTATAAAAAATACAGCATTTAATCGAGCCTCAGTTGATGTATCTCTAACAGTCATCGTCAAATGAATTTATGGACCATATTCTATGGTCAGGTTAACAATAATAACAACCGTACCATCTAGATCGTCCTTGAAATTCAGCAAATTTTTGACCTTTGAGTTGAATCGGCATAGCGTGACGGGCACGCTAAGAATGCCTCAAGATGTAACGCTCCTTCTGCGATACAATTTAAATATTTAACCAATGGAACAGATAGTAAACAAGGTTGAAATAATTCATGTCGCATTTCGAAATATTCAACTTGTTCGACGAAAAAGCTGTATATGAAATAAACAGCCTTCAAATTGACTGTATTGTACGTATGACATTTCAAAGTCAGCTAAAAATATTATCTCACTTTTGCACAAAATTGTGCTATTTAAAGAATATGACACTTGCATCACAAAGAGCAATATACCAAAATGGTTTTTTTTAATTCTTCTCCAATCGTTATATTTGCAATGACAATTGATCTTGGTTGACTCAAGCCAATCAGCATGTTCTTCGTAGGCAAATTTCATAACAACATAGGTCATGACCACTGCAGTGTGGTGCCGACAATGATGATTTTATTTTCGTACTTGTTGATGGAATGAAATTTCATTCGATTTCAATCAGTAAATAAACAAATTCACAACTACATGAACACATTCTGAATTATTGTCCCAATTTGAAGAGACTCACACTTTTCGGAAGTGAAATTCGTCAATCATCGCTGTTTAAACTCAACAAATGTCCGAAGCTTGAGCACATTAGCTTTGAAATTTGGTTTCATGACGAAATAGTCGATATCGACGGTTTTTTCCATCGAATACAAAAGATTAATGAGATGGAGATGCATTGGCGGTTCCTTTTTGCAAACGCTGATGCACTTTTGGGTGTCAATACGAAACAGTTGGACAGTTTTATTATCAATTTGTATGCTCATGTGAGCGAGGTCATATCAATCTGTGATCTTGTAAACGAACTATACGATCGTGGCTTTTACAAACGATTGCGTTTGATTCAATTGGGTTTTTGGGTTAGTCAACAATGGATTGATTCAATGACTTCGTTGAATGCACTTGAAATGCTTGACATTTATGGTATAGAAAAAGGAATCGTTTGGCCAGACATGCCGAGTCTGAAGAAAATTGCGATCTACGATTTCGATGACTAGGAATTGACCACACTCCCATCTAAATTACCGAATCTACAAGAGATTCAGCTGAGAATCGTTGATATCGAACTGATTCTGCCGTTCATTCGTTGGTCGAAAAAATGATCGAAAATCGAAATAAAGAACCCGAAATTTGGTGGAGCAGATTTGAGCGGAAAAATTCTCGATTTATCTGCGTTCAACAAGGAACGTGCACAATTGAGCGGAGCATGCAAAGTGATCATTTTTGTTCCAGAAGAAATGTTTCTGGCGACAAAGTATGCAAATGGCGTAAGTCGCAGTTTGATCGAAGTCAAACGCATCGAAACGATAAAATCGAATGTAATGCATTTTTGGCGCGTTGACCAATGTGTTTGTTGTCCAGTGAAGGGTCATGAGAATCTCTAATAAAATTTTGCATGCCATTACAACACTTTTGCATAAAGTTCACAGACAACTCGAAATTGTTTCCCAATTTATCGATTTAATCATCGCAATGACATGGAATGGTTATTGAATTATTTGGCTTAAACCTTGGCAAAAGCTTCAATTTATTTTGACATCTCAACAGCCGCCGTTTGATCGTATGTTTAAGTAACTTTCGATATTTTTAATCGGTTTTGAGCAGCAATTTTCTGGAAATAACTGATTTCTTCTTCTGTAGCAATGATTCATTCATTAATAACGATTCATTCACAACTATTCATCCCATTTGTAGTTAAAATTCGACCCAATTCGTATTTTCATTTAAAAAAAAAGTTGGCTAAAATACAAGTGGGTGACGAAACTCGCGCCTGCTGTCACTAGTTATGAATCATAACTTATGATAATCAGATCTATGAAAAAACTGCTTGAATCATGACTAAAAACAAATCTTAGTCACATTTTGTTGAATCAACCATCGTATCGTATATTTTTGTGATTTAAAGTTGAATTTTATTTCATAGTCGCTGGCAGCTGATATTATACATACCACACATGATGTAAATTGAATGCGAATAAAAAAAAACTGATGCTTTTTCGACATATTTTCGTATCAAGTTTAAATTATTCATATTTTGCATCACTACATAAAGATAAAATTGCTTTTATTCTTGTCAAACAATGGACTATGCATAATTCAACAATCTCCTGACTCACCCGATCTTGATTGCAATATCAGTGGCCTTTTCGGTAGATTTTCTTTTCCCGAATTGTAATAATTCTGTTTAATTAATCAGCGTTCAGTCGACGCAATAACAAAATTTTTGACTTGAATCAAACTTAAATGGATTTAAACTTCTTTTTTCATCGTTTTTAATTGTGTCATTTATTATTCATCAACATGAATTTGCGTTTAGTGTTCATAACAATTATATTGATTGAAGTTTATTTCGAATTTTCCGCGTGTAGTTTTGCAGAAATTAACGGATGTCGACTATCGAACGATCTAAAAAATATTACTTTCGTTTGCCACAACTCGGAAAAAGATATAATTGATAAAATCGCGAATGAGAAAATTGTACCAAATTATTACTGCAATAACCTTTTTGGTGAAGGAAATAATATATTGACGAATAGAACCGCAGTTAAAGAAATGCATTTTCTCAACTGCGAATTAAAGGTGATTCCGAATATAATATTCCAACATTTCACCAATTACCAAATTCTTGTCACATCGGGTTTGGGCTTGGAGGAAGTAAGACCATTATACGTAAATGCTTCATCAAAATTGACAACGTTATTGGCATCGCATGACAAAATAGAACGCATCCCAGGACATTTTCCAAGTCACATTAAAGTGATTGATTTATCGTACAATCATATTGGTGGAATCGTTAAAGCCTCATTCGACGAAGGAAGCAAATTACAACGCTTAAATATTTCGTTCAACAACATCAATGGCTTGGATGACAATTTATTTAAAAACCTCTCGGAACTACGTTATTTGAGCTTATCGCACAACCAAATACAAACAATTCCATCGAAGCTTTTTTCCAACAACGAAAAACTCACCGAGATTAATTTATCCAATAACAGCATCGATCAATTCAGTTCAGATGTGTTCGCTAATCGCGGAAGTGATTTGAAAATACTCGATTTATCATGGAATAAAATCACGGAGTTGACCGAACAACTATTTGAAAAAACCATGGGTTTGAAAGTTTTGAACATTTCTAATAATTATTTAACGGGAATTCCGCACGATTTTCTGATAAAAGTCACAAATTTGGATATCATCGACTTATCGTTCAATAAAATTAGTGAAATTGGTGCGAATGCGTTCCCTTCGATGAAATCATTAAATTTGTCCAACAATGGAATCAGTGAATTGAAGAACGAGTCATTCGCTGGATTTGATAAATTAGTAAGTCTGCAGTTTGCACACAATCAGATCGCTAGCATACCAATCGAAATGATAAAAATGGCCGTAAATTTGATTGAAGTTAATTTATCGTTCAATAATTTAGATAAAATTGAACTCTTAGAATTTCCGGATGAATCAAAATTACGATTACTAGATCTCTCACACAATAAATTTGTCCACTTCGATACGCCGTTCTTACGAAATCTAGTAGAATTAGGCCATCTTGATATTTCATGGAATCGCATCGAAAATTTGTCGGCTGAAGTGTTTCAAAGCCTTCAAAATTTGGTATATTTGGGCATGTCAAACAATCCGATAAAAGAAGTGAATGACAACCTGTTCTCGCAACTGATAAACCTTCGACACTTGAATTTATCGAGTATGTACCTATCGAAATTACTACCGGGAACATTTTCGAATCAAACAGCTTTGGAAGACGTCGATTTGTCATTCAATAAAATTACCAGCCTAAATTCATCCATATTTCCACCATTACCAAATCAGTTGAAATTGATTTCCATTCGAAATAATACGTTAGAACAACTGGTTGGCTTTAAATCATATCCAAACACAACGAAAATTCAAATTGATGGATATTATTGCGAAGATTGGAACTACCTGTTGCCGCAGCTGAAATGGTACAATTCATCGAAACCATTGCCTTGTGTTCCGAAACCATCCGCTAAGAAGACAATAGTGAATCCAAACACTTGGATATTAATCGTAGGCATCACAGTTCCAGTTGTCATCATTATTATTGCTGCTGGATTACTTTGGCGCTTTTATTGTCAGAAGAAAATTGAAGAAAGTTTAGATCACTCTGGTCTTAGCTACGTTCGTAGTTTGGCCACTGAATTTGATTATAAGCCACTTGAGGAATTTAATTGAATATAAAACAACCCAAGCGAAAGAGTACGATGAGGTTCTATCATGACGATAAATTTCATCGTACACAGTAAACACGATGGTTCTAACGTTTAGAACCACAATATGAAATTTGGCACTAAAATCCATTTGAGTACCATTTGTTCTAGAAAAAGTTCAAAATATTCTAAATCAAAAATCAAAGCTTCATGTATTTATTATAGAACTTTTGAACTTTTTCTAGAGCAAATGGTACTAAAACAAAGTTAAGTGTCAAATCTTAACATTGCTAGAATCATGTATTAACTGTGTAGACTAGCGGCGAGCGCGTGTATGCAACACATCTCCGTTCTCATGATAGAACCTCATCGTACTCTTTCGCTTGGGAAATAGAGAAAGAGGAAGATAAAAGTAAACAATTGAGGATAAACTCTGTATCAGCTGAAATAATTTGAAATTAATTCAAAGTAAAACATTCAAAACTTGAAAGAAATAAAATTCAATACTAACTGTAATCTCGTTTGTTCTAATTTCTTCATACATTGCTTTACCGATCAGTAAATTTTGTATAAGTGAGTAGGAGTATGGGGTAATAACGGGAAAAAATGCATAAAAATATGGTAAATGAAAACCAAAAGCAACAACCGGTCGCAAACAGCTGTCAATGGATCAAAATATTGCAAGTACAGGACGTTTTATACATTTTTCTCGCCACTGGAAAGAGATAGCGACTAGGTGTCTTCAGCTTATTTGTAGTTCTTTTCATTTTCTGCACCTAATCGTTATCAATTCCATCCAGTAGCGAGAAAAATGCAAAAAAACCTCTTTTCCACTCAATGCTGAGTTGTGTCACTTTTGCTCACAACTTTATTTGTCTCGTTTTTGTTCTAAGTTTTTTTCCGTCTCAGTTATGAATAAAGAGCCCATAAGTTGTTCTTTCATTCTAATAGAAGATATCTCTAGAATGATTCTATGGGTGTCATTTCAATATTGAATTTGAAGAAAATGACATTCATTTAATGAATCAATTTTTTTCAAAAACGTTGCTACATTTTTCGACATAATAGATGTTAGAGTCCCTAGCTATTTTGAAAAAGCACATCTACTTCAAAAATAATTCAGTTTGACCAAATATTATATTTTGAATCAAATATGTAATCATTTTCAACCTTTGCACCAATTAAATATATTAACCTGCTTTGATGTATTGATGAAGAAAGAATATGCAATAATACATGGAAACAGTTCGTTTTACATTACACTTTTGATTATTCATAGAAAAGTATATTACGCGATTGTCCCAAATATATAGCAACCCACTTATTTACAGTTTCACAGTCTAATGTTTTTTAATTGAAAATCAACTGCTCATTTCAGATTATTCAATAAAAAAGATTGGCTCTTGGGAAAAAAAAGTGTTTCTATATATATATACGGCGATAAGAAATGTCATAGCCTCAATTTGAAATGGAATAACATTATAAATGGAATATATTTCGTGATCTCATACAGTTATTAACTAATCACAGTAGAAGTAATACGATCAAAATGAGAGTGAAATTATTTACGTTTCTGTTCTTTGTAGCTAGTGTTTTAGCTATTTGCTTTGCATCAGGTAACGTTAAGTAACTTGAATCAAGTTATTCAGTGTTTTCGAGTATATTTTATTTCAATTTCATAAAATTCATTTTGAAGCCCATTACAAATTCGTCAATCTATGCTTCAATTGGAATTAGTTTCCCAATGAGGAATGTGTACAAATCTGTAACAATTTTGTAATGAAAATGTACACAGTGTGTGCACAAACGGTGTACACTTTCATACAATACGCGTTACAAGAATACCATAATTCCTCATTGGGTTCATTCAATGAACTTAAGTTGTTGAACATTCAGGTCACGAAACGTCGTATAAAATATTATTTTATCATTTGAAAAGGTGGCGTCGACGATCGGTGTAATGCCAAAGTGGAGACGGGCAGTTGTAAGTTGGAAGAATCAAAATATATTTTCAATAAACTCCTGCAAAGATGTCAACGCAAAGTTTTGGGTGACTGCGCTGGTGATGAAGATGCATTCGATGATGAGGCTGCGTGTGAAAGAGCTTGTTTGAAAGACCTTGCTTGAAAACATGATTGTCAAATGTTGCAATATTTCTAATGCTGTGTAATTTTGTTAAATAATAAAAATGAGCCTAATTTTGGAGAAACTGTCCAGTTTGGTTTTAGTTTTATTAAAAAAAAAATTGATGAGACTAGATGAGTCGGCCAAATGTGAAGGAATAAGCATTTACCAATGTTTCAATGTCGAGTGTTTCTCGAAAAAACGCTTGACATTTTCTTCATCTTTTCTTCGTATTGAAATATTATCGTGATAAATTGGCTTTCAATTGAACTTTGTAATGCGACCGGTTAAAACGGCGGTTTTCGTTTCTGTTTTCCAAATGTAATATATGGATGATGAACGTGGAATCTTTCTATCGGAAGTATTATTGGGGGATCACTTCACAAATAAAACCTTATTAGTGCTAGAAAATCAAAATATAAATTATTTTAAAATCAGTTAAACACACAAAGTTAAAATTGTTTTATTCATACATGCAGCAGCCGCCTCCAAACCGTCCTCGGTAACATCAATTAGAGTCTTGTGAATAACGCTATCTACATAAAATTGTTGCACTGTACCAGAAATTCTATGGAAATTGGCTTTGTTTTGATCGAACATTTCAACCATACCCAACTAGTAGGAAAAAAATCGTTATCAATTTTCATCGAAAGAAATATTGTTTTTTATACGTACTCTTTTCAAAATGTCATTTAACTTAATTTCTTGTTCAGCCTTAAATTTGGGATTCATGACATCAACTCCAAGAACTCCCAAAAACGAAAAACTTCAAATATTTCTGCTAATTCAACATTTTTCAATTTGGTTTCAAGTGCAGACAGTCCCGTTCGGCTCCATGGTAAAAAAGTATGAAGAAATCCGGATGGACTTGTTTATTAATCAATGTTTTCTTTTGATTCAATCATTCTTTGCTATTCAAATGACCCTTAAAAGACGTTTTTTTATAAAGTAAGCAAAGATACGTGTTTTCTCGCAAAGTTCTATCTAATCTATTATTCGGTTGCACCATTAAGCTTCTGATGTTTTTTTCTTCATTGATTGAATATCATATGATTAGCTTGTATCTTCATTTCAATTTTCTCACTTTCCGTCAAGATTTATGGCATTTAGTAATCATACATTATAAAGCTGTTCGTATGGTACTTATGCGTAAAGGTGCTATTTTCTAGCCGCCGATTTTGGTCGCCGATTCAAGAGGCGATTCGGAATTTTGGGTATAACTTCTGAGCCACGGATTTTATAAAATTAAGTATTTTCCAAAAGATGTAATCGTCATCTTTCTAAAAATGTATATTATTTTAAAATCCATCAAGTGGTTCGATAAATATAGCAAAAGAGCCGAAAAACGTCCGACGATCTTGAACGATTTTCAGCATTTGTGCTATATTTATCGAACCGCTTCATGGATTTTAAAATAATACTAGGCTGATTGAAAAGTCCCAGGCCTGATGTATAAGGGACACCACAAATAAATAATCCATATCATTTTCAGAAACTGTAATCTTTTTTTGGAATTCACGCCAAATTTGAGCCAAATCCGACCATCAGTTCCTAAGTTATAGCACTTTGAATGAAGGTACTTGTGAGTTTTTCAAAATAATAAAAAAACTGCATTTATGTTGACAATTTGGCACATGTATTTCAGAAGAAAAACAAATAGATATATCAAATTCATACTGGGATTAGTTTATGGTGTCCCTAGACTTTCGAAATCAATCATGAGATAAGGAGGAATTGGATTTATGCATAGCCATAAGAGCGATTTTGTCGATAAGCCTCTAAATTGTTTGAAATATGTGGTTTTGGAAGAAATCATTGCCAAAATCTATTAAGTGATATCGAAATTCACAAATATGGCAGTGCATACATTTGCTAAGGCCATAGGGCAACTAACTCAAGCTATAGTTTGAATTTTGCATGGTTATATACATATTTAATATTCAATCGAAAAAGTCTTGCCGCATTTTTGGTTTTGGAGCAAAATAAACAACTATTCAAGGATTCGAAGCCCTGTTCAAAGCTGTAAAAGCAAAATATGAATAGGTTTCTGCCTTCATATATTGAAATTAATGTCTCTTGAGTTCATTTGAATAGATGCGGGCCAAAATTTATGCTTAGAAATCTCAAGAGAGGGCTCGAAGCGGCTAAAGTCGAAAAATATGACTCTGGGCATTATTGGTCGGAATAAGCATAAAATAATTATCATAAACCATTCAGACAAAGTCAAAAACGACAGAAAAACGATATTAGCACCATTTTAGATCTATTGTAATGCAAACAATTAATAAAAAGTTGCCATTTTGGTGGAGAAAACGGTGTTGTTCAAATGCGAGTTTCACCCAGGTCGAAGAATTGTTTATATGGTGATAAAAGTGAAAGAAATAGGTTCCAATTTGCTTCATCAACCATTGTTATTTTTTGGTCTGATCTTTCTCTGAACTCTTCAAGTGAATATACTTAAATACAACGCACCAGAAGAAAGTTATACTGTTTAAACGGCAAAATTAGAGCATTTTCGGGAGTATTCAACTCGCATGACTATAAACAGCGAACTGATGGTCGGATTTGGATGAAATTTGGCGTGAATTCCTAAAAAAGATTACAGTTTCTGAAAATGATATGGATTATTTATTTGTGGTGTCCCTTATACATCAGGCCTGGGACTTTTCAATCAGCCTAGTATATGCATGTAAATCAGTTGGGAAGTTTGAGATAAGAAGTGTCGCCTGAATCTGTTCTACTGATTTAATTAAAGTAATCATCATTAAAAATCCATTTTTGTACATAACTGATAATTTGTTAAATAATATTTATTGAAAATCACGAAATAAAATTCGCCAAAAGTCATTTAGGCTATCACATTTGTTTTTCCAGACTTTATCAAACTCAAGCCGATAATTAGCTCATAACACACATCATTGACGATCACACATCGATTCGAAGCAACTAAGCTATTCGGAAAACTGATCGAAATGCTTAATGGGACTCATATGTTTGTTGACTATTGATGTTTAATGAACCGGCTGAAACTAGCCTGCGACATAGCCATTGTTTCAATTGTTGACGATTAATCCATTCAAAACAAAACACGATCGTTTTGTATGGGTGTGTAATCTTCTTTCTTATCTGTGTTGTCAACAACTGATATTCTTATCTATTAAGCTGTGGTTTTGGCTACATCTGTTTGCCAAATGTAATAAAAAGAAATTTCTACTTCAGAGATGTTTGCTCGATTGAGTAGTATCTTGTTCTCCAGCGTTAGTAGTTCTCGATTAATTCATTCACAAATGGAAAATTTCACGAAAAATGGCAAGAAAATTCTTGGAGCCGCCTTGAATTATACGTAAGTTTACACATCTTTTTTTTTTATTGAGGATTAACTGTTTTAATGGAAAAAGTGTTAAAAATTGAATATTGAATGGACAAATTTGGTATATCACCAATAATATCATAATATTACCAGTAAACAATAAAAGTTCAAAATATCAAATACTTAGCTGAAACCTAGGCTGAAACTATGTTGATTCCATAAAATGTTCTTTGAATCCATGAATGTTGTAAATTAGTGGAAACCGCGAATTTATAAATATTTCCTCAATACATCTAAAAGTTCAGCTTGAAAAATTCTATTTGTATCAAGTCTGCCAGGCATCTTGATTTGTATCTGAATAAACTTTATGATTTGTAACATTTATTGATTGCAGTGACATTTTGGCTGATCCAAATGTGAAAAAACCCGTGGCTCCGGTCATGTTTTTAAAGCCAACCACTTCGTATATCACTGAAGGCCAGGATATTATTGTGAGGATTGAATTTTTTAGAATATTTTCTCCAAATTTATATCGATGAATGTGATCATTCTTAATCAACTAGAGTTCATTCATTCGATAATCAAATTTCGATTACTTGAGTATATTCTAATATTTACTTATTAATCATTAATAATGAATCATTATCTCTAATTTGTTTCATACATTCTCATATTTTTCATTCATTTCAATTGAATACATCAAAATATCCATAAAAAGTTTAAAAGAAATGTGTAAAAAATGAAGAAAATATACCTAAATTTTAGATTCCAGAAGTGCTAACGCTTGTCAAACATGAGGTCGAATTGGGAGTGGTCATAAGTAAACCATGCAAAAATGTAACAGTGGAAGAAGCTCATAAGTATATCGGAGGCTATTGCTTAGGTTTGGACATGTCAGCTTTTTGTGAACTGGTACGCTGGTTTCTCAATTGAAATTTGTTCCGTTTTTATTCTTTGCCCAAACGGTCTTTGTTTCGGAACATTTTTTATTTAAACAAAAATTCTTTGAAAATTGACATTAATAAAAAAAAAATCGACGCTTTTTCCAATCTTTAACACATGTAAAGAATGTATCTTTCCTTCCATTGTAGAACGAAGCGAGAAAAAAGGGATTTCCGTGGAGCATGGGAAAGGGTTTTGACACGTCAAACCCAGTATCGCGATTCATTGCACTGAACGAGGTCAATGACTTGCACAATCTCGACTTGTATCTGAATGTGAATGGAGAGTGTCGCCAGACGGGAAATACCAAAGATTTGATCTACAACTCTTTTGAATTAATCTCCTATCTCTCACAGTATATGACTCTTGAGCCGTGCGATTTAATCATGACCGGCACACCGAAGGGAGCATCTCAAATTTACGCTGGTGATGTGATTGAAGCCGGTCTCAGTGAATCTGGACGTGAAATTGTAAAAATGACATTTAATGTTAAATAAAAAATACGGTGGATTTGGTTTGGTTGTTGATGATTTTATTGAATTGTTTCACTTTTCATTGATTTTCTCATTTTTTTTTCTGTTGAAAAAAATGTTTTGAATTTCTACGGATTTTTTGTTAACTTCTTCAATTTTCTTAGTTTTTGTTCGACTTTCTTTCAAAATTTGCTAAATAATCATGAATTCTTCGATATTGTTGGATTTTATTCAATAACTTCATTAGTATTCAACAATTTTCTACACATTGTCTCCAATTCATTGCTGCAATTTCCCTTAACTCGATTTATTTCTTAACAATAAAATGTATCTTATGGTATTATTCAATTTGGTTTGAATGTTTGCACACTCGACCACCAGTTCAATGGCTTTATTGAATCGTTCCTGGGCTAGTTGTAGGCTGCGTGGTACAAGTACACCAAACCATCGAATTGTGTCAATAAATCCATTTTCCTTGTCAACTTTGTGGGTGCTGAGCTGAAGTTCATCATTGATTTCATCTTCTTGTCTCGTTACTGTTTTCAATGCATTGAAATCGTTGCTATTTTCGGTGGGCAATTGTGATACGGATACTGTTTGTGGTCCTTGGATGTATCGTGATTTTGCCAATAGCAATTGGCCAGCATTTGTTGTCGATTCAATGTTCATTTTACACAACACCGATTGCTCAATCAAATCCAACATTTCGATCAGCAGTTTATCTTGCAGTTCCTTTTCTATTTGCGACATTTTTTTACTTTATCAAATAATTTTCTTATTTTTTCTTTGAAAAAATCAATTTTCTCTACTCAAAGACACTATCAAAAACAGCGAATGAACCAAATATGTTTCTTGTCATATGATTTGTTTTGACTGCTTTTGACATTTCGTGTGCTGCCATCTGTTGCAGCTGAATTGCACTTTTCGAAGTTAAAATGACGAATCGAAGTCGATTTTTCGAAAATGAACTAAAGCAACGAAGAAATAGAATGAGAGAACATTTTTTTTTGCATTCTGGCAATGGTTGATTTAAATTTATTCTTTGTTGTAAATTCACTGAAAATCTTAGATCTAATTAGCCTATCTTAAACGTACTGTATGGAGAAAATAGCTTAGTTAATCGACGATGAGTCGATTCATTGATTGCTCTGATGAAATGCTTTCAGATCGATATGGAGATCGACTTTGCGTAGGAGATCTTTGGCTTTGTTCAATGATGCCGGCCCGTGTGAGTTATCTTTGGCCATATCGTACAGATCGTTCATGTATTTGTCGATATTTTCGATGTTTGCCCCGTCCGGTTCGGTTGGGATCGATAGATTGCGTAATTGTGTGGCCAATTTGTGTCGCAAAGTCTCCAAATACGATGACAGTTTGTCGTTTTCCTTACGAAGGTCATTGATTTCGGTGTTTGTTTTGCTAATGCCGGCTCGTACATTTTCGACGTGTTTCTCTAGCACGGCATTTTGTTGTTCGTAGTCGGTGTTCATTTTACGTATCTTCTTCAGTTCGGTTTCCATTTGACGATTGTGTTGAAGGAATTTGTCCGTGAATATTGGAATGTCACCAAAAATTGGCGCACCATCAGCTTGGGGCGGTGTCGGCGGAGGTGTATTCAACAGCGATATAGATGATGCACTCGGCTGTTGCTCAACAGATGGAGTCTTCTTTGATGCATTCACTGGCTTTGACTTTTGTACAGATTTCGCTTCGGCACCGTTAGTTTGACCTGCTGATGTGGCTGACTTTTTCTTCTTCTTCTTTGGACTATCTTCAATCATCGATTCCGATGTGTTGGCATCCTTGACCGCTTTTGAAGACTTTTTCTTCCCTTTCGATGTTGATGCACTCTTATCTTCCTCCTTTTTCTGAAAATGAAGGGTTTTTTTTTTGTTTCTCAATCAAAGAACGTCAACATTTCTGTTTCATGATTGTAGCAAAGAATAGAAAAACAACAAAAAATACGCTCAAAGACTAAACCAACTCACCAACTTCTTGTTATACGCTTTCATTTCCAGCTTGTATCTAAAGTAAAAAATTGAAACGCCATTAGTCGAAGTCAAAAAGTCGTCATTAATCAAATCAGTCAATGTTGATTCAAACAGATTCAATATTATTGAAGTCAATTCACTGGATTTGGATATATAATTTCATACCTGGTTTTATCCTCTTTGGCGGCATCGAGATATGGTTGCTTCTTTTCATCGTCCATCGACATCCATTCTTCGCCAATTTTCTTGGTCACATCCAAATGGTGCATGTCTGGAAAGTCCTTGCGTAATTCTTCACGACGCACATTCATGTATCGAACATAGCCTATGCAACAACAACAAAATCAATTCGATTCATGAACTCAATATTTTGGAGAAAAAAAAAACAACATTTTTGCTTGATTTGGAAGACCTATGGCATCGATAATTCAATTAAAAAAAAAACACCAATTCATTTTGGAGTCAATCTTCATTGTTGAATACATACCAACTTTTGGATATTCCGGTTTGTTGGGATCTTTTTTCATCTTTTTGTTGTGTGGTTGGCCGGCGGGCGATGACTTTTTCTTCTTCTTTTTGGCCACTTTTTTCTCAACACTTGTGTTACTGGTGTTGTTTCCATCGGTTTTGTCTGTTGTTTCGATGGATTTGTTTGCATCGTCCACATCCATGTCGGAATTCATGGCTGTTGCCTTTGTTGTGGTCGATTCCGGTTTATTCTGAGTTGAGCTCATTCACGACTTTTTGTTTTTTTTTTCAACAATTTTTATTCTCTTCTATTGATTAAACTGGGGTGTGACTGAATAGCGTGAAAAAAATCAAAAAAATATTTCAATAAATTTAGCAAAAATTCAAGAAATATCCTTTCGATTGCCTGAAACAAGTCTTTGTTTATATGCTCGTTTGCTATGATGTTGCTGTTTAGACATCTGTCAAAGTGATTCAGCGGCGCTGAATTCAGCTTTTGCGTAGCAAAGTATTGGTGTGAAGTTCACACTGTGTGTTCAGCACACTGACTAAAGGTGTGTATAACACTTAATGACAACACAAAATCGAATTTGATTTTAAAAAAACTGAAAAATTACTCTCGATGAAAAAATGTACAGCAATTGAATTAAACACTTGAATTAAATTTTAATATTTTTTTTTTCGTGCATTTTATTGAATCATCTTGGGTTGTGATTGAGCTAGAGAAGCATTCCGGTTTCTGTAAAATGTTCAGTATCAATATGTACAAACACGTAAATTTCCAATTGGATTGGGTCAGTATTGCTGAATGAAAATGAATAGCTAATACAATTCGGCCGAATTTCTATCGTTTAACGATTGAATTTTTTTTTGTATCAACTAATTGTTAAATCTGTTTTTTTTCTCGATTTTTTTTTTATTTCGCACTATTTTCTGTAATTTTGTGCAGTATCCTCATCAAGTTTATGTTACATATGAATATCAAATAATTTCGCTACTTCATTTAGATCGTCATATTTTTTGTCCTGGCTGAGCACAGCTCGTGCAGTATTAATGCGATTGAATACATTCCATAGAACAATGCCAACAATTTTTTCATCTCTTAAATAAAAAACAACACCCTTGGAGAAGTCATCTTGATCGTCTGATGGATCGGCTGCTTTGACGCTGGGTGTCACTGCCGATGGTTTTGTGTCATCAGATTGTGAGGTCACGGTTTCGGGCGTCTTTTTTACAAATACACTAACCGTAGGTAAGGATGAATCGATGATGCCGAGTGCTTCGTAACCAACTCGTGGACCCAAATCTGACCAGAACATACTTTGGTGCGTGTATGGCTTACCTAAAGGAAATGATTAGGAATTTGGATTAATTTTAATATTCATTAATTTGAAAGTAAGTCAAGGTGAAGTCAAGTAATGCACAGCTAATAAGTACAGCATAAGGCAAGACAGTGTTGGAAATAACAGTTTTGACCGATTTTAATACAAAAGACAAATGATTTGGTAGAAGAATTGAATCATAAATACTTTCAATTGTGTTCAAAATAAAGAAAAATTGTATTTAAAATTTGCTTACTCAATCCAACCATGTTCTCGCCGGCCAATCGGCCACTAACGACCGCATGGTCGTGATGTTCAACCCTTCTGCGGCCAAGTCGGGGATCGTAAAAACATGCTGCATCTCCAGCCTATGAAAAATTGAGTTGGAATAACATTTTCTATTTTTTCATTCACATCGACTCTGTTTCCATAGCCATAAGGCCATTACTCACCACATACAAATTATTTCTTGCTGAAAGTTCAGCGTTCACTAAGTAACCACCATGGTTTGTTTCGATCTCTAGACCGGATTCTTTGCCCAAAGTTGTGTTTGGTGTGGAACCGACGGCCACAACCACATGATCACAGACAATTGATTGGCCATTTTTCAAAAATAATTTCACTTGATCGTTTACAAGATCAACAGTCTGCACCTCAGTGTTTGGAATGACATCGACACCTTCTTCACGTACACGTTCCGTTGTCCATTCGCTTAGGAATTCGGGTAACACTTTGCCCATATTCCCTTTTTCATGGAACACTTGATACACTTTCAAGTTTTTGTCTTCACCTAAAATGCGTCAAAAAATTTTTTGTAGAAAATATTTGCGAAAAAAGAAACGAATCTGCTTCCATGAAGGTTCCGCAAAATGCAAGCAAAAATGTCTTTGTCGTCCAAAACCTACCATATTTAGCCAATGCACAGGCGAGTTCACTGCCAAGAAATCCACCGCCAATGATTGCGACTGATTCCGATTGGTCAACGTATTTCTTCAGGCTGCCGTAGTCTTCAATTGTTTTGAAAAGGGAAATCCGTTCTTTCAATTTTGACGAAGCATTTTCGAACACTGGTAAATTTCTCGGTGACGAACCAGTTGCGATCAAACATTTGCCGTACTTAATTTCAGTGCCATCGGTCAAAATAGCAATACGATTTTCAACATCAACCTTTTTCACCTCATATCCTCGCACAATAGCTACACCACCATTCGGTTCGTTCGATAATTTCGAAGGATGCGTGTAAAAGTCATTTGGTTCATAGTATAGACTCCGCTCAATTCCATTCCATTGCTTGAACTTCAATGTTTCCGTGTCATTTTTATTGCTATTTACTTTGGCTTTGGACTTTAAATCTTTGCCATTTACGGTTTCATCAGCCAACCAGAGCTCCTTGGAAAGTGGTGGTCGCATATAGGGTGTCTCTATTTCATCAGATAATACCATAACTTTCGCTTTTGGATCATGCGATTTTATAGCACGGAATGCAGCAAAACTAGCTGTACCACCGCCGATTAACAGATATGGAACATCCTTTGGGATTTCAGCGGAGGTTAGTGGAACTTTAGCTGAAGCGGAGGATAATAGAATGGACCGATAAAATTTTCGTTGCGATAAAAAAAATTTCAAGAAATACTTTTTCACGCAAAACTCACGTTTTTTCGGCGGAGCCATCTTCTTCGGTGTTTCTGGCGATTTTCCCGATTTTTCATCCTTAGAATGATTGATAATGTACGCACCACCGCCGAGAATAATAGCAGCAGCTGCTCCGATCCATAAAAATTGATTGATCGATGACGATGCAGGCGGTTTTGATGATCCACCTGTATTTTGATTTCGCGATGATGACTGGAATTGTCGGCTTATCAACACCGGTGTTGTCTGTTTTGGTTGCACATCAACCTTAGTTGTAATGTCTGGTTTGCTAGAGAGCTAGAGAAAGGCGAATGATGTTGATGTTATTTTTTTTTTTTTGGTAATTTAAAAGTGTTATCATGGCACTAAGCCATTATGGGAGAACTAATACTCTCTTCAATTTTCAAATGAAAATTTTTAATGAAAAAGAAAGTTTCTAATTTTAAATATAAAAAAGAAATTTTCGATCTTTCAGTGAATAAACTAAAGAATAGTAAAGACTTCTAAGAAAAAAAATGATATTATTGTCATTCAATTAACGAAAAACAAAAACCAACTGAAATAATGATACAAAAAATAAAATTCAGTCAAGCATTCGAATTGATCGTTGAAATAAAAAAAAAATCAAACTTGACGATAGAAATAAGTGCTCAAATGGATACTCTAGAATAAAATCAATCGTGCAAATAAAGAGATAAAGTGTAAATCATAATTTACTCCATTAAGCGTCAACAGAACTGAAAATCAACCAACTAATGAAAAACATTGAAAAAAAAAATGGTTGAAACAATTGTTCTGTGTTACTATTGCTTGGATTCGTTTTTTCGCATCAATTTCCTGTTTATCCATTGATTTTTCACTTTGATTTGCGGATGTTTTCAAAATCCTTTCGGAAATTTTGCATGACTGTCCCAATTGTATAGTTTCAATTTTGGGTATTTCAGTTGCCCTTTTGTCAGCTTTAGATGCTAAAACTGTAGCTGTCTCAATTTTAGACACTGGTATGGTTTCAGTTTTATTCGCTAAAACTGGTGTGGTTACAAGATTAGGTATTAAAATGGGCTTTGTTTCAATTTTACATGCTGAACCCAATGTTATTTCACTTTTATGGTTAACCGTTTTCGTGTCGGCTATGTTAGTTTGCTTAGCTTTCGATTGTGTTTTTTGTAAATCGTTAATTGAGAATGGATAGATGGTTAAAGGTGGTTCATCTCCTGCTTGAGCCAACTTTTTAGCTTTTGCGTTGTTTTTGTTTACCGTTCCATTATTTCTACCGCCTTTTTTTCCATTGATCGCGCTGGCAAAGAGTCTCAATTGAGAACCTATTGAAAAAGAACAAATTCCAATTAGATTCAAAAAAATTCCATGCACAGAACCAAATGTAACTCTCTTCATTAGCACGTATGCGGAAGAGAAATATGTAAATAATATCAAGATACAAACTTGTCTGAACACTGGGCAAAAGACGTCTGTGCGAAAGCAGCGCCAAACGTAATAAACTCATTTTTTTCCGCTTCAAATTCAGCAACAGCTCAATTCTCTGCAATAAAAACCACAACGAATTGGAAAAAAATAAACTTCATGCAACGGAAAACACAACACAGAAAAATTGATGCTGATATTGAGATAAAATCAATATTAATTGCGCGATGCGTAAAAATGAATCCTAACCTAAACAGTAAACACACTTGTTTTGATGTCAAACGCAAATTTCCAATAAAAAAAACGCATTAATTCAAAAAACTTGAAATGCCCCAGAAAACACGGGTACATAAATTGTGTGGCAAAAATGAAATGGACATTACCGTAAAACGTGTTTGTTTCTTTCAAAGGATAAAAAAAAATTCTGCAAGCAAAGGGAAGGGACCAGCAATATTTTACTTTTCTTATGTTTTGTTTTCGATTTGACATTTCATGCAAATCAAGTGTCATCCATGCATCGGCGCACTATTCAATAACATTGAGATGACGGCATTCTAAAACCGGTTTTCAAGTTTTTATTCTTTTTTTCTTATCAAATTTGGAATTTTTCGTGATTTTTTTTCAAACTCATTTTCTTTTTTTTTTTCTCCGGCATTTTCAAGGAAATCATCAAAATTTGCACCGAAGGCAAAATAAAAAACAGCGAGAATTTGTGGCGCACATGCTCATTGTACGGTGGTGCAAAAACAAAGCCCATTAGCGCGAACTGTCAAAACGAAGCCCAAACGTCAACGTATGCTACTATTTGTCATTTGTCGTCTAACAACAAGAGACTCACACACTCTTCGCTCCGAGTGAATTAAATAGGACAAAATTCTTTTTTGGCATTATTTATTAATTATCGAATAGAAAAAAATGCACACAAAATGCATTACTAACAAATAGTATTTATTAAATTATTATCAAATCAGGGCGATTGTACATACCATACTCTTTTTCCAAAGACAACCACCTATATTTTTTTTTGTCAGTATTTGAACAAGAACTAAGTTAAGAAAGAATTTTTTTTTGCCATGGATCTCCATTTGCCAGTCGATGCGAATAAAGTGAGTTTTTAACAATTAAATGGAATTTTATTCAAAGAATATCGAATTTTTACCTATTGAACAAAATCTTTTGATTCATTTACAGAGCATTGATGAACTGACAGCTGAGGAAAAACTGAGGTAAGCCACAATGACAGTGTGAAAATTAACACAATTAGTGCAATTGACAACAACAATGTAAATTTATCGCAACATTTTACAGGCTTGAACATCAACGAATGCATGAAAAGCATAAAGGTCATGATGCCATGCACGCGGAAATGATTATCATTTTATTTGTGACTTTGATATTAGCACAGGTTGCACTGGTGGAGTGGAAGAAACGACATTACAGATCATATTCGGTAGGTTGCCGTATTGAATTACACCGTTGAATGAAAATTCTAAAGTATTTCTCGCCGGTGATGACTAATCTCTAAACTATTTTTTCGGTGACTCTTTGCTTTTTTTGTTGATTTTCTTCCCTTTTTGACGTTGTTTTTTTTTATCAGTTTCTAATAATTATTTCTCCAATTTCAAAATATTTCGAAGCAATTTAAATATTTCCACACTATTTTATTAATATTAATCTTTTCAACTATTTTCCTAAATGATTTTTTTTTGATGAATTATTATAATTCTCAGCATTTTTGTGTGATTCAAATTTTTTTCATTGAAATTTTCAATTTTGATTCAGTTGGAATTTCCAACGCATTCGAAAAACAAGACCGCAGATCGTCGCTTCGCTCCGCTCTGCGTTCTTGAAGCTTGTAAATTCAAGGGGGTTTAATTAATTTGATGTTTCACAATAATTCAAAAAAAAATTATATGATAAAATTGTATTCTTCAATTATTGTTTTAATGTACGTTCAATGTGAATACATTATTTCACATTGGCAACGAAAAAAGTGTCAAATTTTTTTTTTGAGTTATCTCATAATTGAATTACGTTTACATGATATTATTTAATTTTTGCAATTAAGCGTAATTGCTTTATTTGAAATAAAAAATATGGATATTAAAATGAGTTAGTTTACGGTCCAAAAAAAAATGGCCTAAAGAGTCTTAAAAATTTCTCGTAAAAAAAAAATCACTACAGTAGCCTACATTCCATGTAGTGCTAAAAAGTTGTGATTAAAAATACGATTCTAACCCATAATTTCGTAACATTTTCCCATTCAACAGTTTATCACTTTATTAGGCCTATGGATAATACCGGTGTGCGTTTGTATAAAGAACCAGTGGTGGCGCTTTATATTTTTCTGGTTGCTGTTTTCATGCGTAACGATATTGGTGGTGCGCAAAGCTATGATCAAACCGATATCTGGAACTACTCCAAGGTGAGTGACCCACCTATTACTCTACTGGATTGTTTTACTCTACTGAACCAATTTTTGCGGATTCAACTGCGCTGAAATGAAGTCAGCACCTTTCTTGAACTAATTTTGACGATCGAATTTCTGAACCAAACAAATTCTCACACAATCATAGCTGTACCTTATGAATTAAATTAATTCATTAATGGACTATTTCGTTGATAACCGTAATATTGGCCTCTAGGGCTTATGGCCAATGGTCATTTACCGCATTGTAAGACCTTGCCATAAGTTATAGCCCATAACATACAAAACACCAGACATAATACTAAACATTTAAAAATATTTTTTCTGATGGGAGATTATGTAAAAAATTAATCATGATTTTTATCTCTTTCAGGCTTGTGTATAAATGGTTTTATTTCATTTATAAACTGAGCTATGGCCTTGGCATTGTCGGCTATATCATAATGATGCTCACATTTGTTGGTTTCAATTTAGTTTTTAATCAACCGCCAACTGTGTGGATGGACGTTGGATTTATGTTTGTCTACTATGGTTTATACTTTGGTGTGTTGGGCCGAGACGTTTCAGAGATTTGCGCCGATAAAATGGCATCCAACATTGGGGTAAATGAATATTTATAATTAAATTGATCATTGTATACTATTTTCATGACCAATTCTCTTCTTTATGGTTCCAACGAATTTTTTTTGTACGAAAATGAACGTTTCCACGCAAAAATGACGTTTGCCTTCGTTATACAAAATTGTTTCATTCTTTTTGGTTTCGATAAACAAAATTTTATCTGGTTTAAATCATATGTTTCTCTCAATTTTGTTCCAGAATGAGAAATTTCTTCATTTTTCTATCACAGTTTGAGATTGAACTTCTAATGAACGGACAATTTCTTATTTAATTGCATTAAAATTAAAAATTTATCCCATTTTGGTGTTAAAATGTCTCAATTCGTGCATAAAAATTGATTTTCATTGTTGTAATTTTTCATTATTTTCTCCGCTTTTGCCAATTTTTTCAACAAAATTCCTCTTTACTTCCAGTATTACACGCCGCAAGGGATGCCGATCCGTAATTTGGAGCAGAATGTATGTGCAGTATGTGGAAATGACCTGTTAGTTAGCGAAAAAGATACTGGCGTAATTGAGGATACCTACAAATTATCATGTCATCATGTGTTTCATGAGTTTTGCATACGTGGTTGGTGTATCATTGGGAAAAAACAAACGTGCCCATATTGCAAGGAAAAAGTCGATCTGAAGCGTCTGTTCAGCAACCCATGGGAGCGGCCACATGTATTATACGGTCAATTGCTTGACTGGATTCGATGGTTAGCACCAACGCCAATTTATTGAACCTATAATAATATTTTTCCTCATTGACGTGATTATACCATGAATTAATCTTTTTTTTTTTCTTTTTCAGGCTTGTGGCATGGCAACCAGTCATTTTGGTTCTCGTACAAGGCATCAACTGGGCACTTGGCTTAGAATAAACCCGATCGAATCATACCATTTTCACTTTTGCTTTCCTATTGTAAAACTGTTTCCTAATTATTCAACCCATGGAACAGTCCAAATCCATTTGCATAACCTAATATATATTTTGAGTCATAGTTTATATATATTTATTCGGATGATTAAACTCTAGCTGATTTTTTCATGATTTTGTTTTTGTGACAAAAAAAAAACCCCATTCATTTTGTGAAAATAAACAAAATGTGAGAAAAAAGTGTGAAATATATTGAATCATTGTTGTTTTTGTTTACATCTGTCTATGTTGAGTGTTTGACAGTTGGCGAACTGTCATTCAGCGCAATTTCACCATTGTATTGCCCACATGTGCCCACAGGCACAACATACACACATCGTGCGGTTTTTGTTGTGAAATTCTGAATTTTTGATTTAATCTATGGAATTGCTGCTTCGGGAATAGGATAAATACTGACAAAAATGGCTATGGGCCGGACTTTTATTCAGGTTTGTTACATCTGTCGATGACTTTTCTTTGAGATTTTTTATCCATTTTCCAAGCGTTTCTTTCCTAATTACCAACTCATTCACCAAAAAGAGTTATTATCACCAATTCATTCACCAGAATCGATTGAGAACTGTGTTATTAACAAGAAAATGGGAACGGATCGCAACGTATTGTACGATACACAAGGAGGATCATGAAATTAGACCAAAAACAATTACGGAAAAATTCGCTGAGTCAATCAAAATAGCGAAAGAAACAAAGAAAGTGGTCAAAGCACGAGAATCACCAGCGTACGAAGGGACAAATCGACTGATAAAACCAGTCGATGGATATACACCTAGATTTAAATACAATGGTTGGTTTTTTCTTACTCTTTTTCCTTTTTTTGCTAATTTTCATATGGATGTAAATATGTGAGATGGCTTCTTTTTGCATTCACCTAGGTTACTTGAGAAAAAGTCATTGGCGTTACTATGATGAAAATCGACCAGAAAAGGAAGCAGAAACTGAAGAACAATTCAATTACAGAATGTTGAAAAAGCATAAATATTGTCTTCTAATGGGCTTTGCTGGCGGAAATTATTTCGGGATGCAATTCAATGAATCTGTTAATACAATCGAAGATGAGTTACTAAAGGTGATGGTAAAAAATAAATGGATTCTGCCTGAACATTTGGCTAAACCATGGACATTTGATTTTGTGCGTGGTTCGCGCACGGATCGAGGCGTTTCAGCGGCTCGTATGAATGTTTCAATGGTTTTGCGTAAGTTGGTGTTGTTTTGTTTCAAAGCGCATTTTTCGGAAACAAAAGTCAAAAATGAGTCATTTTCTTAATTCTATTCCATCCAGCAACCTATGTCAATGTCAACGATTTGAATCGAGACCTTCCATCAGACATCCGTGTGTTCGGAATGAAAAAAGTGACGCCAAAATTCAGTGCCCGCTTCAATTGCACGGCTCGAACCTACTCGTACACGTTGCCAACGATAGCATTTTCTCATTACAATGATCAAACTGAAATGAAGGACTTTCGATTAACGGCAGATCGATTGCAACGAGCCAATCAAATACTTGGCCTGTACAAAGGAATGACCAATTTCCATAATTACACGGTAAAGAAGCTGTTTTTCGATCGATCATCTTTGCGACACATCGAGCACATTGAATGTAGCGAACCGTTCATTGAAAATGACATTGAGTTCGCGCGAATCACGGTGAAGGGTCAAAGTTTTATGTTGCATCAAATTCGGAAGATGGTTGGATTCAGTTTAGCAGTGATTCGTGAAGTTGTCGGTGATGACATGCTACAACGTTCATTAACTAAGGAAGAGTTTCTTACACCAACCGCACCTGGACTTGGTTTAATGCTTGAACGATTACATTTTGATCACTATGCGAACTTTTACAAAGACCATGATCCACTGACTTTTGAAGAGTTTGACGCAGACGTTGAGAAATTTCGACATGAACACATTTATCCAATCATTGTTGAGACAGAAATTCGAGAAAAATCCATGGTTGAATGGCTTGAATATCTTTGCATACATAGCTTTGATTCTGAATCAAAAGATAGAGAAGAAAACCGAAAATACCGCAACGATCCACGATTCAGCGATGAATGGGGTGAAAGTCCGGAATTTATTAAAAAATTAAACAAACGATTAAACGAATAAAGTTATTTTGGTTTCAGTTGATGGAATAAATTTGTTTTTTTTTTTTAGATGAAGATTTTTTTCAGAGAATTTCTCGCCCAAAGAATTTTTTTTTTTCGTTCAAATAACATTTCTTGTTTCAAATTGTCAAGTAAAAAAAGTGCTGAATTGAAATCAGAACGAATGAGAGATGTCTCGTTCAAACTAACTTCAGGATGATTTGTGACAATCGATGTGACATTTGTTGTAAACACACGTGCATTGGTGTGTCAATCGTATGAAATTGTGATTAATTTCAATTCATCCTAAAATAAAAGTTTATTTTAAATAAAAACACTCACGAAAAATGACGGATGTTCAAATAGAAATTCCTGCCAATGGAACAGAGAATCCAGTCGAAGCAAAGGAAGAAGTCAAGGCGGTGAATGACGGTGGGAGTGATTCGAATGCAGATCAATCTGCCGATAAAACAAAAGGAAAGCCGGCACAAGTAAAGAAAGCCAAGTACGATGGACGCTGCAAAAAACGTAAATGGGTATTCGACCGTCGCGATGATAATGTGAAAAGAGAGAAAACCAATCCGGAAGATCGAGTCAAGAGACGAAAGTATCTGATGGTACTCGGCTATGCTGGTGCAAATTATATTGGCATGCAACGTAACCCAGATGTCAACACAATCGAAGAAGAGCTATTGAAGGCAATGCTCAAGAATAAGTTGATTACAGAAGAAGCATTTCAACAGCCACAATACACACATTTTCAACGGGCTGCTCGCACAGACAAAGGAGTTTCGGCCGCTCGCCAATGTATTTCATTGAAATTGCGTAAGTTGAACTGATGTTGTTGAAACTCGAACACAAATCGAACTGAATTATACCAAATCAGTCAATTCTTCTCTAACACCCAACATTCCATTTTTTTTCCAGCGGAAAAAATCGAATTGGAATCGTTGAACAAAGATTTGCCATCCGATATCAAGGTGTTTGGTTACAAACGCGTGACCAAGGGATTCAATTGCAAAGACCAATGCAATGCTCGTACATATTCCTATATATTGCCATCGGTTTCATTTGCATCCTATGACCAAGAAGTTGATATGAAAGCCTATCGATTGGATGATTCAATTTTGACTCGTGTTAATGAGACACTCAAACTGTTCGAGGGTACGAAAAATTTTCACAATTTTACATCACGTAAAAAGTACGAAGATCCATCGGCCATACGATTTATCATTACTTTTGCATGTGGGCCACCGTTTATGGTGGACGATGTCGAATTTTGTACGATAACTGTCAAAGGACAAAGTTTTATGATGCATCAAATTCGGAAAATGATTGGATTAACATTGGCTGTGGTCAGGGGAATAACGAATGTTGATACGATAACGAAATCCTTTGAAAAAACACGATTGGATATTCCAATGGCACCCGGTCTGGGGTTGGTGCTTGATCAAGTGCATTATGATGGTTATAATGCACGTTTCAAAGACGATGGAATGCATGAACAACTTGAGTGGGACGAAATTGAACCGACAATTCAAGAATTTCGTGATAATTTCATTTATCCGGTTATCAAAGACACGGAATTGAAGGAACAACCAATGATTCAGTGGCTTAAGACATTGCCATTGCACTCGTATGATGAACGACCAGCACAATTTGCTCGGAATAATAATGCGAACCAAGCAGATGGAGGTGACAATGATGAGACAGCAGAGACGAATGAGTCAGTTGTGGATGATGAAAATGGTGGAGATGATGATTAAATTGTTTTTAGTTTTTATTTCTATTTTCAGAGACTTTACTCTATTTGCGGAATATTTTTTTTTAGAAATTTCAAGTCAATTTCATTGGAAAAAAAACGAAGAATTTCGAAATAAATTTTATTGAAGAAAAAAATATTAGGAATAAACCATATATGGTTCTGTTTTTTTATTGTTTTGAAGCGAGAGAATTTCGGAATTGTCAGCTGAACGGAACTTTTTTTTGTCCTAAGTTGACCTCCTATTTAGCCGGCTCTTCTTCTGTTGACTCCGTTGATATGATGGCCATTTCAAGTACAGCATCGCGAGTCTTCCCACCGCCAATGAATCCAGTAGCATGTACAAATTTGGCATCAGTCACTCCCGACACCGCTGCGACTGCCTCATCACGAATACCTCGCCACGATGGCGGTAGAAATTTACGACACAAAAAACTATTTGCTGTTTTTGGTACGCAAATCACACGATGATCACCTGGGCTGGATGCCATAATGCAGTACAAAATCTCGCCTTCACATTTCTCCACCTTTTCCAAGTCGTACAAATGCTGTTTCCATGGGCAAAACTGTTCGAGTTCGATAATTTTGCCGGATGGATGCAAATCGAAGCGTTTTTTAATCGCATCACTAACGATAGCTCTGGCTGGCCACCAAGTTGTAGCATAGTACAGCACCGAATCTAAATGAAATTTTTGTTCCAATAATAACGATAAAGCGCATATTATGTCACATTTGATCTAGTCATCAATATATAAGATGCACAAAATGAACAATGAAAAGAAATTCAAATTTACCAACAAATTCCGATCCAACCAATTCTTTGGCCTTTTCAAATTGGGCTTGTTCATCATAATCTTCGGCAGAATTCCATTGTGAATTGAAATGGCCGACGCGTGAGCTCAAATGTGTTGAGATGCGATACACTGCCGAATTTGAAACCAGATTTCTTATTTGAACAAAAGCTAAATTCAATGTAAAATAATTATTTGAACGAATATTCACCTGGTTCACCGGCAAACTGTGGCACACCATTATCAATGCCATCGATTTCTTGAATAAAATACTCGTACACCTTTTCAAAAACGCTGCGCAAGCATTCGTCACTAAGTTCGACACCTTTTAATCGCTTTACCAAACGGCTGATAACCTCTTCGCCAAAGTGTGTGTAAATTAGGCCAGCCGAGCTCAAGCGTACCGTTGAGAATTTCTCGACAAATTCCGGACGAAGTGAACCCAATGTATGGTCGAATGTTTTTTGATGATGATCGAATCGGAATGTTTCTGGATCAAATACACTGCCCACATCAATGACAATGTCACAATCTTTCAACACATCGGCATCTCGGGACCGAACGATTCGCGCGTTCTCATACTTTGGCAACTGTTGCAGCATGTAACAAGCCAATATTTCATCACAATGAAACATACCATTGTGGGTTCCAATCAATACATCACCACTGGCACTGGACATTCTGCGAAATTGTCGATTGAATTCGGTGGAAAGCCTAAAAGTCGACGCTGATTTTAAGTGAGTACTTTCAAAATGTTTGACAAATTGACTGTTGTGTATGAAGAAACGTCGCAACATTGCTTAGCGGGTAGAAAAAGTAGGGTTAGGTCATGCGTGAGTCGTGAGTATAGAAGAGAATATTTACATTTCTCTTTTGCTTTAGCTGTCAAAATTGACACTTTGATTTGACACATCTATCACACGGACTGATTTTCTTGTTCTCAGTCTGACGGAGTGCTAAACAAAAACCATGGCTTTCAATACTTTATTGAGATTGAATAATAAAATCCCATTGATTGGGCAACGAATTCAGTCCATTTCAACCACATCAGCTCTTGGTATCAAAGAAAGTACGTATATTCAATGAGGAAATTCTTTTCACGGGGAACAAGTTGTTGTGTTGCTCATACCAATGATTTTGTGGTTATGTTTATCATTTTCATTTCGTAGTTGTGGTGGAACAAAAGAACAAAGTATTGGAAATATCAGCTGAACTCAAGCCATCACCACGGGAATCAGTCCTAATGAAGGAAATCATGCCAATAGAATCAAAGGAAAGAAAGAAATTTTGTCCAAAGTGTACGCTCGGGCTCGACATCAAACATACTGACGTTCTGATTTTAAAGCAATATCTACGTGAAGACGGCACTATGCTGCCCAGACGTATCACCGGCCTATGTAATGTTCAACAGAAGAACATCGGTACTATGGTTTTGATGGCCAGACGTGCAGGTTGGTTCCTTTTTCTATGTAAAATTCATATAAACTTCAATTACCTACGGAATTTGATACAAAAATGAATTTTCTAAGCAAAACAGGTTACAATGTGATGTAAAAAATTGATTTAAATTTCAACTTTTCGGTGAAAACTTGATTAAATTTTTCAATCTCCTATAAAAGTTTGCTCTCTTTTGCACTTTGACACAAATCTAACGACGTTCCATTGATCTTTTCACAGGTTTATTACCGCTAGCAGTTCAATTGGCCAGCAAAAAACCCAATAAATGCTATGGTTACAAGAAACTCAACCACTACTACGACGAGAAAACAATTAAATATGCTAAATTATGGATTAATGCCGACTAGTTTACATGGTGTACACTGTTACAGACTGTTTTTTTTTGATGAATAGAATAAAACAATGGATAGTTTTTAAAAGAAGTTTTTTTTTGTCGAGAGATTTAATTTGAATTTGAATTAGAGTGAATCGTTTGAGTAATTTTGAAAATGGAAAATTGGAGAATAATTTGATAATTTAGGAAAAAAACATTTGAGTTGGAAATTTAAAAGAGAAATTGAAGTTGGACGTCTGAATTTGAGGAAAAGTGTGAATGGCTTAAAAGCCACCTAATAATTTTGAGGTCATCTGAAGGTAATTTTTCTTTATATTCATTTGATGTCAGAAAGTAAAATATTTGGGAATTCTCTAATCGAATTTTTCAATTTGAAAATCATAAAAGTTTTCTTGTTGTTTGGCACAAAACAACAACAATAACAATGTGGACCAAACACATTGATCGCATACGGAACTGTATAAACTCATATTTTGTTTACCGGTACATACGGATGTTCTAGAGAGCTGTTGCTTAGGTACCACGCAATGCGTTGTCAACGCATACCTCCATCAAACGTTAACGTATCATATTGATTAGTCATGAATATGCAGATAAGGTGATCTTCAATATCCTATCCGGACGCACTATGCGATGAAAAAAAAACTTGTACACAAAACTATGTCTATCAATTTGAAGAAAAAAATTAGAACAAATATCGTCAACGAATGTTTGCCATTCGATTTGCAAACTTTCTCCTAAAAATGTAAACATCCGAAGTTGTTGACATTTTATCTTAATACTTTTCTAGACTAAGCAGTTCAATACTACTTGAATGCACAATTAATTGTGCCATATTTTTTTCTATGTGAACTCAGTCTCAGGTATTCGAGAAAAAAAAATTGTAAAAATGAAATAAATTGGCATCGCTTGCAGAACAATGGAAAAAATTCGAGTTGAATTTTCAATTAATTCAATTCACCAACTTGAATTTGAGTACAATAAACTAATTGCAATCGCAAAAAGAGGAGAGAAAGAAACTCAATTCCAAGAACAATCATTGTAAGACATGTGCGATTTTATTGGCAATAATTTATTGCGTCACAAATGCAAAATCAAATATTTGTGAAATAAAGTCGGATATTTCTCGAAGAAAGGGGAAAAGCGGACGTAAGCTCATCATGATGCAAGTTGAATAAATTAAGAAGTTAAATAATGTGATTCCAGGAAGCTGCCTTGAATGGGAGTGCTGATAACAACTGCCAATGAAGGATAACAAAGGAAGTCGTACTGCACAAATCACTCACTTTGTTCGATTCGAGCACACATAAAAATTATCAACGCGACAATAAATATGAGTTATCAATTATTTGTGATACAACCAGCAAAACAGTGTCTTTGATTCTGATTGTCTGTCGCAAAAACACGTTATAAATGTAATAAAATGAAATAATTTGTTGATATTTTCCTATTGCCTGCGAATGAGTCATCATCATACTAAATGAAAGTTTGTGAATTGAACATTTTTGCATCCGAAGATTAAGTCCAAGTCATTGCCATAGATAAGAGCAGCCGTGGGGTATTTTCTTCAAAGTATCAATCCGTACAACAACAACACAACCATTGTGCTGACCGTAAACAATTCACATGAAATTCGATTTCTCATTGACATTTCCAAGCAATTATCAATCATGCGGCATGACGTTCAAAAATGTTTTTCTTCGGGCATTTTGCGACGATTTACATATTTTCAATTAGCACTTGTTATCTGCTATTTAAGCAAGTACACCAATGACAATCAAAAAATTGACAAACTCGTCGATTCGACGTCAAAATATTGATAAATATGTGACTTCATGGGGGTCATTCGATTTATCTCATGACCTTTTATTGCGCAAAAAACACAAAATTGGTGGTAAATTTGGTTCCGGTGCATTTTTTTTTATTTAGAAATTCTAATCAGAGAGATGGGTCCTTCTCTTGTTGAGTTGAAGGTTTCAAGTTGAAGCCTATTATGGTTTTTTCGGTGCAATCAACAAATCGTCTCATATACGAGATTTCATTGTAATGAAATCAATTTACGTGATTTCTCGTCTCTTTTTGCTTAATCCGACAGACAGAGTGTATCAAACACAAATACTAGCGCCACAAGCGTTTAAACCATGTGCGTTATCATCGCTGACCGAATATGTTCAGTGAACACTGTTCACACCGAGCGCCGCGGCTACTCTAATCGCAACACATTTAAATCGATCACTTTCTTAACGAACGCTGGACCGCGAACAACTAGTTGCGAAGAGCAAACCAAAATATCAATTAGTGATTTAGTTATTGAAGGAAAAAAAGTTTTTATCGAAAGAGAATCATCAAATTTTTTATTTAAAAAAAAGGAATTTTTCATAAGCGGAAATATTAATTTGAAAAAAAATTATTAATTTCTCCTCATTAAACAAAGTGTTTTAATTTACATCAAGTGTTTTGATTGATTCGTTGATATTTTTTGCTATGAACTAATGATTTATTTATCAAAAGAGTGAGATTTCTATGTAGAAAAGTGCCAAAGGATCAATTATTTTTTCCTTTTTTCAAATAAAAAATTATTGATTGGAATTTTGATAATAATAATAAAAGTGATCTCTACTCGAAAGAGTCTAAAAGACAAATGTGATTAAATTGAAAAACGAGTTTTTACCATTTTTTTTAAGCTTCAAAACCAAAAATCATTTTAAAATCATAAGATGAAGACGTAAGTTCTTTCTGAGAAATAATAATCTACCGATCTACAGATCGGAACACCGAACAATAAAAGACATAAACGAATGCTACGTATAAATTGATTGCGCAAATATATTTATTAGAAACGAAAAAAAGATGTTGTTGATGTGACTGCCCAGGCTTAGGTTGTTTCTTCACTATATGTCGAAATTAGCTGAAAAATCAAGTTTCACGAAGACGAAAAAAAAAAAACGTTAAAAGTGAAAGGCAAGCCAAAGCATAAAGTATTAACGAGAGAATGCATACATGGGCAATACATTGCATATTATTATGGGCCATAGCTTAGTGTAATTTTGTCGGCCCATCTAATAGGCACGTAAAATGAATTTTGTCGACTTTGTGAATCTTGTCTAAGTTCCGGCCAAAAAACACATTTGAATCGCTGATAATAATTATAAGGTCACAAATTGATTAAAAATTTCATGTTTTTCGCCACAAAAAAAGTGTTTTCAACAGTTTGTTATCAATCATGATTTTTCGGTGAGTGCTGCACTAGCATCACAGATACATTGTTATAATTCACAACCTAGTTATCTGTCGGTTATTTTTATTTGCTAGAGTTGAATAAAAATGGAAAGAATGTGAAAATCCAGTCCAAAACTGTGCGTTTCAATTGAAATGGAACTTTGTCTACACTGTGAGACATTCTTAAATTATGACGATGAACAAGAATTCAAAAAGGTGAAAGAAGAAAGAAAAATTCAAAAAAGAAAATTGAGAAAAAAGAATAGAATAAGAACTGAGGAAAGAGAAAAGTAAAAGAAAAGAACAGCAAAATAATGAAGAAAAGAAAGAAACAGGGAAAGATAACAAGACAAAAATAACGAGAAGAACAAAAAATGTAGAATAAAAATCTAAGAACAACACCAAAAACACCAAAAATAATTACAATTACATCTAATTGAAGAGCTCAGTTGAATGATCTAAAGCGATTAATTGGAGTAAAAATTCAGTTGAATGATCTGCGATGAGTAGAAGGTCATTTCTCAGTGGAAAATTCTCGCCTTTTGGTACAAAATGAATTCACTCCAATTAATCTGCTGCAAACAAAAAGGGAGTCCAATCCATCCATCCATCCAAAAAAAGAGAGTTTGAACACTTTATTCTCCCAAAAAAGTGTCCAGACTGCCATGTCACTAGCCACAGAACTATAATCAATAGCATAAAATTGACAATTTTTGTCACCGTAAAACTTTCCGTGCGCGAGATAATTTTTTGTTCAATGGACAAAAGGCAGTGAAAAAAAGTGTCGTCGACGAGAAAAAAAAGCCTGTTTATGGAATTATACAATTTATTGGTTGAAATTTGTGTTTTTCAAACATGTCAAAACTAACGTAATGTGGATCATACTGAAACCTCTCTGAATAAAAAAAAGAAGAATGAGGAAGTAAACAAAACGTTAGATAGATTTAATGACAAAATTACAAAGAACGAAACGAAAACGTCCAATGTCGCTAAATGTTTGAGTGTGGCGCATGCAAACGATAAATAGCCATTGTTATTGCGCTGCAAATGGTAGAGAGTATGTGTTAAAAATGCTAATAGATTCAAATGACACGTATGATTATGTATACTGTCTAAATTTATCACTTGTTGAGTCCAAATTGGATAATCGTGCAAGGGGTACTCCCAACAATATTATATACTGGAGTCCAATATTATACAATGAGGAAAAATTGATGCATAAGTGCTGTCATAAAGCAAAAAAAAAAAGGTGTCAATCAATGAAAGAGCGCAAAATTGTAACAATGTTCATGGAAAAAAGAAGCAAAAAAACAAACAAAAAAAGAGCAAAAAATAGAAGAAAAGCAAAGCGATTACAGTAAATATTGACTCAGACACCAGAGACACAGACAAACAGAGAGAAAATCAACAGCATCAGCAATAAGTCGACGAATTTGAATCACAAACATTTGATTCAACGTATCATTGAGGCGAGAGTAAAACCAAACAAAAAAGATCATTATGAATAGATGATAATGAGCGCAACGCATGTTTTGCATTCATCTTATCACAAGACTTTGACCGCTAGCTCATTCAGTAATTGAATTTTCTACGATCTGATGTGCAATGAACCGGTCGCCACCACGAAAACCGGTGTTGTGTTTTTGTTTGCCAATTCAATCTCACGATGATAAAGATTTTTCGCTTGCAATTAATTAGCTTTTGTATTTACTATTTCCATTTAAAACAACAAAACAGTCTAGCGGCTGATAAAGAACTCGGCTTATTCAGACGCGCACTACCTCAATTTTTAGCCGTTGGATGCAAAAATCTCGTGCTGCTCGGTAAAGTGAAACTGGTTTTTTTTTTCTCTGTTTTGATTTTTTTATGTAATTGGGAAAGTGTGTTTGACTTATTGCATGATTTTACGACGCTTAGGCTATGGCATGACTATTGGATTCCCAACGATTATTATACCAGCAATTCAGGGCGGCGATGCACGTGATGCCAGCAAAGGTGAATTCAAACTCTCAGATGATCAGGTGTCGTGGTTAAGTAAGTGTTGACACTTTTTTTTTCTTTGGTTTTAATCAAAAAAAATTTACAATGGTAAAGTGATGAATTTTGGTTTCGTGGAATTAAAACGATGATTTTTTTCCCCTTTATAAAAGTGACGATTTCTTTTTTTCAATGACATTTTCTTCGATTATTATCGAATTTTATTTTTTTTATTTTATTCCATTCAATCACATTCCAATATAGAATTCAAGTGAAGATTTTTCTTTCTTTCCACGATTGTTCAGATCAGTTTGTTCTTGGTTATTGGGTAATAAATGCAAAGATTCCGAATTAAAATCGATTTAACCGTACAAAATACACAAATGCGGCATTTGCCTAGTACATAACACAAAAATGCATATATATATATATATATAATTAAGCAAATAATGACCAAAATCGTAAAGAATTGCACATTTTGCATGCAAAAAATTTCAAAATACGTGCAATTGTTCGTTATCATGCACACATAATCTTAACTTCACCACAATTTATGCTGTGCTTCGAGCGTTAGAATATAACGGTCAATGTCAAATTGAACATTCATACACCTATGATTTATATCCATTATCCAATTTAACTTTCAAAAACAATAAGTTCCAAACCGAAATTATAATTGCATTTTTTTGTTGTTGCCTACTTCAAGGTTCAATCAACTTGCTATGTGTTCCACTTGGCTGCTTTTTGTCGGGAATGCTAACCGAGCCGACTGGCAAACGACGCGCAATGCAGGTAATAATTCGATGTGATTTAACTCAATCGTTCAATAATGTAGAGTGTTTATTGTACCACTGTGTACATTGAGTATTAGTCAAGCTTGTTCAACATACTCTAGTTATTGACAATAATTTATTTTTTCAACATATCTCACTGAACATAATTGATTGTATAGTTTATTTTTTCAACTATTTTCATTGTCTCTCTGCTGGCATCTAGTTAGTGAACGTGCCGATGATCGTCTCATGGCTACTCTTCTATTTTTCGACCAACGTTAATTACTTGTACACGGGATTGTGTTTATCGGGTCTCAGCGGCGGTTTAATGGAAGCACCAGTGAGTATATTTTTGGGAATGTTTTTTTTCTTCGTCGCATTCAAGTTTCAACGGCTTGAAATTAGACATTGAAAAGTAAATAGCAACTAATGATCAAAAAGTGCCGGTTATACGCGGTATAACACATAGCAATTAATAATTTTGTACTAATTATTTGCTTATAATTATGTATGAACCACATGGTCGATGTGTGTTAACTGCGACTGATAAATATACATAGAAGTTAGATGATCTAACAAATTCTCTCTAACATAGGTGCTTACGTATGTGGCCGAAGTGACACAGCCTCAGTTTCGTGGTATGTTAGCAGCAACTGGAACAACGTGCGTCATTACTGGAATATTTGTGCAATTTATTTTGGGCACATTCTTCTCGTGGCGAGAAGTGGCATTGATTTCATGTTTTTTGCCGCTGTTCACGATAACAGCTCTATTCTTTGTGCCGGAAAGCCCATATTGGCTATTGACAAAAGGTCGCGTTGAAGAAGCTCAACACTCACTGTGTTGGTTGAGAGGATGGGTACCGTTCTCAAGAGTCGAAACTGAATTTAATGAAATCCATCGAGTTTTAGATGAAAAACGACGCGAAGTCGAAGCCTATCGTGAAATGCCTTATTATAAACGCTTTGAGCCGTTCTCAAAACGTGGTTTCATCGCACCATTCATTCTAGTCTCAGCCACATTCTTTGTTGGCCATTTTTCCGGTAAAACACCACTTCAGACATATGCAGTTCAGGTAATGCCACTATTCAACTCAGAAATAGTCACAAAAACAAACTTTTCTTTAACCTTTTAATCGACCCAATTTTCTCAACTCCCTCAGATTTTCAACACGTTGAAAGCTCCGATTGACAAGTATTATGCGACGATTATGTTGGGCGGTGCTGAATTGGTGGGTGCATTCACATGCGTTTTATTGGTGCATTCAACTGGAAAGCGACCATTAGTCTTTGCTTCGCTCATTGGAACCGGTTTTTGTTTCTTTGCCACCGCCACTTATGCTCATTTTCTAGACACCGTACCCGGTGTTTCGGTAGACAATGTCGTAGCCAATTATTCCATGGAAAATTTGGATCGATCCAGTTTCGTTGATCAACGAAACTTAACAGCCGCTTTTAGTAATTTAACCGATTTTGAAAATGTAATGCATTTTGAAATGACGACTGAATTTTTAACCACCTATGACGATGGTACACAAACAACAACCGATTCAATTCTGGAAACAACGGCACGTTACAAGCGAGCGAACGTTGTAGAATCTCCAAGCGGAAGCAATATGACGGTTGGTGATGAAAGCAACATTATTCTACACATTCCAAATGCCAAAGAAAATAAGTATTTGTGGCTGCCGCTTACGTTGCTGATTGCCGGCGCTGTACTTAGTCATTTAGGTGGGAGACATTCAATTTTGCATTCAAATTCGATCAAATTTCTTTTCATTTAGATTTAATTCTTTATCTCTTTCTCTACTTTTTCCACTAGGAATCCGCATAATCCCATGGTAATGCCACTATTCAACTCAGAAATAGTCACGAAAACAAACTTTTATTCAACCTTTTAATCGACCCAATTTTCTCAACTCCCCATTTTTCCAGGATGCTCATCGGTGAAGTGTTTCCGGTGAATGTTCGAAGTGCTGCATCTGGACTTTCAAGCGGTTTGGGTTACATTTTTGCATTCCTCGCAAATAAATTGTTCTTATCAATGCTGGCCACACTCACATTATCCGGAACATTTTGGTTTTACTCAGCGGTTGCATTCATCGGTTGCATAATTTTCTATTTCACGCTGCCCGAAACAGAAGGTCGAACTCTGTTGGAAATTGAAGAACATTTCTTGGGCAAACGATATCTGTCAGAAAAGAAACCAAAAAGTGATGGCCTTGAAAATGGAGTGACGAACCATGGATTCGATATAGTTACAGTTGTACCACAAACGGTAATCAAATCTCCAGCGCTACAGCCTAATGGCCATGATTCAAATGACAATAATAGTCTAAAAGTGAATGGCAATCAGAATGAACATAGGCTTAGCATCCCGGAAATATTTATCACATTGGATAGACAGCCGGGAGCTGGATCAAAGCGATACAAACATAGAGTTACCGATACAATTCGCTCAAGAAATTCGATAAATTCAAATGAAGAAGACGTACAAGATACACGATTGTAACAGTTTTAGCGAATGAAAATTATGATTTTTCAATAATTTTAATTATAAAACAAATTTTTTTTGCTGTTATAATTGCGAATCATTAATTAAAACGCATTTTAATAGAAATTTATTTGAAATTTTAACGAGAATTCAAAAATAACGTTGATTTTTAGGAATAAACATTTTATTCTTATGTCCCTGTGCGGAATTATATCACAAAACATCAATTTTTTTTTGAGTAAATGCAAAATGTTTTTAGTTTTAAGAAATTTCAATCATAGATATGGAATTAAACAATGATCAAATTGTTAGTTATTGTGCACAAAATGCCAATAAATGCGTTAAGTTTGAATAATTTGAGTGGTTTTATTCATAACCGATATTTAATCCATTTTCTACAAGCTGTTTGAAAAATCAAATATTTTGCATGGAAAATTAAATGCTCCGTAGAAAATGGGTTTTGAACAATTCAATGGCTTCTCAATTAGTTTGTCCAAAATAGTCAGCACATTCACATGCATTGTGTTCCATCCCTTGGTTTTAAAAATAAAAATTGATTAAAAAGCTGGAAATGCTTCCAAGCATGATCAATAATTCTCCGAGGAAAAAAACCTAGGAAAATAGTCCAAAAATCCAAATTCTACCGGCTAACTAATAAATATCATAAACGTGTGTGCTATTTTCAACAGAATAAAATGTCCGTATCGTAGTATCTCAGTCAATGACAGATAGCTGAGGATATATGCTGAGCATAGAAACTCAGTAAGCTGAGATTGGGACATTTTGACTTTATGACGTGTAGTCCATATAAATGCATGATGAAATGCACGGAATTGTATGCGTGCCATCATGAATTTGTATGGACACGTCATAAAGTCAAAATGTCCCAATCTCAGCTTACTGAGTTTCTATGCTCAGCATATATCCTCAGCTATCTGTCATTGACTGTAGTATCTTGATTTCAATTCAAGCACGAAATTCGATGAATTAATTCTAACAGCCGAAATTTGCATCTGAAGTAAAAATTCTTGTCGAAATCATAGCAGGCAGATGACTTCACAACATTTCAATTCTGATCAATATACAATTTGAAATTCGAAATCATTCAAGATCGACTCTATCGCCGTCTCGGACAGAAGTGAAAACGAAAGAAAATTAAGTAAGAAGACTCCATCAAAAGTTGTGAGGAATAAAAAATAAAACGAGCAAAAAATTAAATAAAAGAAATATTCGATCCAACGACAATTTTTAATCGAAAAAAGAAAAAAATTGAAAGAAGGAGAAAAAAGACAGAAGAGCGTCGACATCATTTTGAATAGCGGCGAAAACAAAAGCGTTCCCATTGATTGACCAAGAGAAAAGGACGCACACAAGTCGTATTCAATATTAAATAGCAAAGAGTATTGAAATCACAATGGTCCTAACATTGTCTGGATTCTTATTCACTCAAATTTGTCCCGTGTGTTCACTGTTCACCGTTCATTAGCAAAAAGAATCTTTTATTCATTTCAACATCATTTTATTTATAGATCATTGGCATACTGACAATCGTTATCGCCCATATTTTCTACAGCACATTTTGTAATGATGTTATCGAGCTTTGTAATGATTTATCGGTATGTCAATTGTTAAGTGAATTTCAACAAACATTTTCATTGGATGATTAAATGCAATTCGATTCCTAAATTGAAAATTTTTCGAACAATTTTTCGATTTATTGACATTTTTTCGATTTGGCATGAAATTCAGATGTTTTTTTTTCATTTCAGGAAACGATTTTGAGATTTTGGTAATAACCTTGATGTGTTTGGGCGCGTTGCTTGTCCTATTGCCATTCATTGGAGGTTTCGGTGTCTTAGTGGAAAACTCGAAATTAGTTTTGATCGTAAGAAAACGCTGAAAATTTCTCTGTGAAAATGCACTTGATTTAACTTCAATCTTTTTCGATCCAGAATTAATCAAATTCAAGTTTCGATGATTTTTTTTTTCACTTCATTTCAGTTTTTAGTTTTGTTGGTTGCGATTTTCGTGGTTAAGCTTGGAATTGTTATTGCATTATATATAAAGTGGAGTATAGTAGATGATCTACAAACGATACTGACAGACAAATTCCATTTTTCTGACGAACCTGAGTCAGAACTTAGCTATGCAAGTTGGATTGTTTTGCAAAAGAAGGTGACAATTTTATACAGACTTTGACGATTGATTTAATCTAGACTTTAGCTTTCATTTCATAATTCATAATTCCACTAAAATTTGGAAAATCAAAAAGATCATTTTCTATCGGAATCGATTCAGAACCGTGTTTTGATTACACACAGAGGATAGAGAGAGAAAGAAAGAGATACTGCAGCACACAAGTTAATAATTATTTTCTTTGTTTTACTTCACAGATGAATTGTTGTGGCATATATGGCCCCCAAGACTGGATAGATACGAATCCAGAACCGAAACAAATACCATTATCATGTTGCTACCATCTTGCAACTTTTCAACAGGAATGCCCCAAAACCTGTGCATCCGAAGGCTGTTATGGAATTGTACAAAAAGCGTTTGCGAGAGCTTTCTACTTCTTAGTCGGACTTGACACTTTTGTTGCTACGACTCATGTAAGACATCAAAATATGCGTTCTTCCATTGAATTTTATAAGGAACCAATGAAAATGTATCTTTCACATCACAGCTCGTGGGCATTGGAACGACTATTTATTGGCTGTTGACGAACTGAAAGGAGCTGTATTGAGATATCTTGAAGTTTGACTGGAAAATTGTTCTTTTCAATTTTTCGGATTTTTTGCTGAGAAAAAAATAAAGAAAGAAAAACGTCTTTTGATTTATTTCGTATTAGTAACAGTGAAAACTTTTCCACTCGAAAATTTATGGAATAAATTTTTTTTACAAAAAATAAATTTTGGCCTAGCAAAAAAAAATGTTCTCCGAACATCGACGACAAAATGTCCAATATTTCTCGAAGCTATTTCATGGGATACATGAATTTGGAATGGTTCGGCCACCAAATAGGGGACCATAATATTGAATGAATGCCGTTAGCAATGGATATTCACCACATCCGCATTTTCCGGTGAAATCATCCATATCGATAGAAAAAAAAACATGCCTCCGCCAAGACGATTATTCGGGATATAAATGGCCTTATAACGAGCGGTGTTTGTATCTTCAAAAGAAATCTATAGATCGCCCAGATAGGCATAATATTGATTTGCACCCATTTGAGAAATATATACAGTCATGGACTAAATTGAGCGTACGACTACCAGAAATATGTATCGCGGACTATTTCATGAACCTAATTAATTTGTTCATTCAATTCTTTTCTAGCAAAAAAACAACATCTTGTCAGCCAAAAATCCGTTAATACGAAATGATCCATATAAGAGTATACTACATGGACTCCACATTGTGGTACTTCAGCGTTTATTTTTTAAGGGAGTTAGTTTTTGGGATTGATATGTTCAGCATAGTTGTAGCACTTGATGAATAGAGTAAATTTGATCAAGAGAAGATGTCAAAATAATATACCATTTGTGAGTTATAACCTCAAATGTCAAATAAATGGCGCTATTTTGACATCAGCTGTCATACTTTCACGGCTGTATCTTTTAAAGTACTTGAAATATTTGGTTGGTTATTATTGCATTTCGTTGGTCTAACCTCAAGCTTTCGAACGCCGGTTAAGATGCTTCAATATCATTCTTGGTTCAAGAAATATTCATATGTGTTGAAAGTGATAAAAGTGAAAAATAAAAAAAAGTTTAACCGTCTCCATTTCCCAAACAACGGTTCGGTGGAGCAAAACATATATACCATTTCGAAGCAACATGAGCTTGTGCATCATACTATATCCCCACTTTTTCAATTTCCATGAATTTTCTCTATTTAAACAAATATTAAACGGACCGTACGCTCAATTTTGTCCAGCACAAAAATGACATTCATCTACACCACAGGCCATAAGTTTGGATACCCCTATGAAACGTTTGTTTCTACGCTTTTTGAACATTTTCACTTGAAATTTAGTATTGGATATGAAAATATATCGAAATTCTGACCGAATGGATGATTTGGAAGATAACATTTGGCCGACCTATGGCCATCTTTTGGCCTTTGAGCTGTGGGAGCCAAAATCGAAGTCTTAAACGGGCCATCTGATTAAAAAGTTAAATACGCCATTGGAAAGGTCTTGAAAAGTAGATGTGATTTTTGGTATTAAACATCAAAATCGGCCGGCATTTGGCCAAGATATGGCCGTTTGTAATTTTTGGCCGAAATCTTCAATCAGCCATATCTTGGCCAAAAGCTCGCCGATTTTGATGTTTAATACCAAAAATGATACGTACTCTCTGAGACCTTTCCAACGACGTATAGCATGTTGAAATTGGACAAGAGGTTTGAAATTTAAAAATTTTGGGCCAAATTCATTCATAGGGGTATCCAAACTTATGGCCTGTGGTGTACATTTTTCAATAAAAATCACAAAATCCAAAAAAAAATTTCAAAATTCTCTCGGTTACTATTAGTTCACATAATTACGCAACAAACAGTGCAAAGAATTGAATGAACAAATTAATTAGGTTCATGAAATAGTCCGCGATACATTTTTCTGGTAGTCGTACGCTCAATTTAGTCCATGACTGTACACTACCGTGCAAAAGTTTGGAACCACTAGGTATTTTTCATACAAATTGACCATTTTTGGTGGACTCATTAACATATTTCGGAAACACCTGCACTCTTGATATTTTGTGCATAGTTTCTACAACGTTTCAAAATATTCACGTATTTAAAAAATATATCAATTTGAATTTGATCTGTTTTAATCTTCATACAAATTTGATCATTTTTCACACAGTGCAAATTCAAATTGCTATATTTTTGAAATTCATGAATATTTTTTGATGAAACCTCTGTGATTTACTATTGAAACGTTGTAGAAACTATGCACAAAATATCAAGAAGAGAACCCTCAGCTTTAGCAGAGGAAAATAGAAAGCCACAAAGAAGTTGTTTTTTTTTAAGTAGCATACACTGTGCGTGTGTTAGTCTTACACCTTCAAAATGACCATTCGAGCAATCATATGAAAAAAGTGTAAGCTAAATGTGATTTCTTCAGAACAAAATACCTTGCAATCAAACGAAAATTTGCTCCCAAGAAGCACCTCATCATCTGAAGTCGTCAAAACTGTGTTACTGTGCGACTGCATGAAATCATGAAAATCTGTCCCATAAGCAATATCGTGTGATTTCTAGAGTTCTTTCTTACCTTGCATTTCGTTTTCACAATAACAATAATCTCAAGTGCAAATTTTCGCATTTGTGTTGACAATGAAAAACAATTTAGATTTTTGTTGTTCTCACCGAGGACTTCTCAGCGATTCCATTTCTTTTGTTTTAATGATAATAATGTGAGAGAAATTTCGAATACATTCAAATTACAAATCTAAGTAGTACAAAATTTGGGAATTGATAAAGTATGCAGTACAAAGTCGATACATAATGTGTCGTTACATATTAAAATGGTTTTGATTTGCACTGATATAAAATGCTGTTTTCTTTAAATTGCTTAGATTGTAAATTGTAAATCAAATCGATTTGAACATTGTAAAATGTAGCTTAAAAATATATTATTGAATACGGTGTTGTATGTGGATGTATCTATAGACTAAATAAATTTTGGGTTTCTATAACGACGGGATTGTTGCCTGAAAGCGGTAAAAATTAATTTCTTCTAGTGTTTTCCATTTAAAATTTCTTACCATGTATTTCGTTCATGCCTGGGGTCACATGCACTACAGTAGTACGGTCCGGCTGGCCTTAAACACATCGCGCACCACTTTTTTTGCTTGACATCTCGCAGCATCTTCTCGTACTGTTCATGAGCCTGTTCCTTCGCCAGCTCACACTTTTTCTGTAATCCTGTCACTTGACTTGATAAGCGGTTTTTTTCCGTTGACAAGCGTTCAATCGTCGATTTCATTCGATCGATTTCAGTCGAACTTTTGATCAAATTCCTGTTAATATGGGTCAAATGTGTGTTTTTCGCTTCAGCATTCTTCAAATTGTTAGCGAATTCGACATTTGCCGCTTGAAGTTTTGCAATTTTGATTTTCAAATTTGCATTCTGTGTTGACGTTGTACCCAACTGATTCACATACTGATTGGCCTCGGTGATCTTAGCTTGTGCCTTTTCCAAGTCAGCGGATACAGCATCAAGTTTCGACTTAAACACATTTCCGACATTAGCTTCTTCGGAGGCTTGGTCATGCATTGCCGATAAGTACATTTCTTTGTATTTTTTGAGGTCCGCTTTCAGTGTACTATTCTCATCACGCAAACCATCGATCAATCGTTTGTTGTCAAGTTGCCGCTCATTCAATGTTTGCGTACTTTTATCAATCATTTCCACACAGAGTTGAGTCACGCCAGTAGAGTGTTGTATTGCATTTTGCACGACAGGCTCTGATGTCGTCAACATTTCCACTGTTACCTGGTCGATTTCAAACTGAGCTGTCGAATTTGAGAATTCGGTTGAGTCGGCACATGGTGATGACGGCTTTCCATTGGAAACAATCTCGTTGTTTAAGCTGGAATCAGGCTCGTTGGTAATGATTTTGCGATTGTCGCAGCTTAAATGGTCGGCTTTTTTGGCCAACTTTCTTGAAGACAACGTTGATCGTCGTGCCTTTGGCACTGCCGGAACTTTGAATACCGTATCTGAAGTTGAATTTTGAGATGAGCCTGAACCATATTGTAATGACGTCGTACTAGATGGTGCTGCATCTTGATTCACATTAACAGCCATTTTTGCACATTTTGCTGGTTGCAATTTATTCAATTTCACACTATTCATTCGCTTCTTTGTGGCAGTTTGCGGTTTTCCGTCGGAACCTTTGGAATAGAACAAAGACACGTTTACAAATATGGACTCGAAACATTTAATATCGTCAACGAAAGTGTTAGCTTATATCGTGAAATTGTAATCGAAATTTTGCGAATAATATTATGAACGGTGAAGAAAGAACTCTTCAATGATCGACGTTCATTGAATGTTTTGTGACTGGTTTCAAAATGTATTTACCTTTTGCCATTGTCGTTTGTATGAAAGAAGATAAATTGTTCGTTGTGGATGGTAGACGATCAATTTGAATCGATAGTTGACGGCAACTCGCTGCAATCTGCGTATTTGTTGCACTCTCTGCGGTTGTCGTATTCGGTGCGATTTTCGCAGTCGTTATATTGGGTACGATTTTCACATCCGAGGCAGCTACAGATGCTGACATACGCCTAGTCATAACACATCCAGTGGTGTAAACCTCTTGCGGTACAGGCGAATTGCGTTTTGTTTGTTTTACTGGAAGTGACATTCGACGAGCACACGTAGCCGATGCCGGCTTTGACTTCGGAATTGGTGGCGGAACAACTGAATGGCCCAATTCTTTCCAAGCATTTGGAATCATTTCGTATAAATGGCGCTCCAGGAAATTGCCATGCAGAACCGTAATTGCATCAGCATAGTTGAACGAACCATATTTCTTAATCAGATTGTTGATGTAACTTTCAGCCTCCTGAAATTTGATGAATGAAAGTGTAACTTTGAATTAGATGGATGAATATTGATAAAAGCTGTTAAGCTGCGGTTAAGATTGATAAAAAATGTAACCGCCAAATTGTCATTGGAAACTCAACTCACTGCTCAGCTTTAATGTGAACAAAGAAAACCAAAAACCATTATCGTTGTATAAACAAAAAAAATTCAATTCTTACCTTCATTGCTTCATTGTGTTCACGGCGCTGTGGACCAATCCAAATGCTTGGACACCTTTGAGAGTACAGTAAACAATTTTTGACCGGCACAATGCCGCGAAGATGACTTCCACCAAAATATTGAACGTCTACGGTGTTCTGATCACGATTATAGCGCATCACTTTCGCCGGCCAATACGGGAATGTTCTTTGCTTAGCCCAAACAAGAATGTGCAATCTAGCGCATGGCGTTGAAAACCAATCGACATCCAAATTGATATAGCAACTATGACACAAGCGAATACAGTACATTTCCTCTTTAACCGCATTAAACAAGACGTTTGCCGCTTTGATTTTGCCATGGTTAGCTGGTGTGAAATGGAAGGATTAAGATTATTACAAAGTGAGCTAAAATTGGTTTAGTCAATTTCCGATGCATGAAAATGAAGGGCATCTTTTGCATCCATCATATTTTGATGCAAATATTCGTTGGTACAAAAAATTAAAGTTCGTTAAATAATAATCATCACATTTTAATGCAATACTCGATTGAAAACCTTCAATTTGCATATGTAACTCACCCGAACAATGAATCTTCGTATTGTGCACGATCCATTTGATGTCGGAGTAAAAATCCTCGCAGCAACTGTATGCACCGATCTCAATCTTCTTGCTAATTGTGTTTAAATCCATTGTGTTCGCAACCGTTCCTCTGGGATAATCAACCTCCATAAACTGTTTGGTGAACTAAAATCAACGTTTTCTTAGCAGATTCTTTTACATTTTCTCATTTAAAATAGAGAGTCTATAAGAAGATCTCATAAATTAAACGAAAAAAAAAATTCAAATTTCGGTAAAATGTTACATACAATCTTATCATCGGCGATTAAATGATCCCAGATGAAATTTAGCGCCGTCTTCAAGTGTTCCGCACTGATTTTTCTGCAAATGATCAATGTGTTAGTAGGTTGATAGAGTACATATTAGTACTTGAGATAATTAACGAGGATGATTTTTATAACACAAGCTAAATCTCTTTTCCATTATAAACATAGCATATGACGGAATTTCGGTGTGAAAAAAAACATGACCTAACTTACTCTGCATTATTTCGTTGGGCTCCTTTTTCTATCTCAAGACATTCCGGACATCGCCACGTCGCCATTTCATCCTCATATACCTTTTTTTCGGATGAACATGTTGCCGACATGTGAAACGATCGCACACACGTCGTGCAGAAGAGATCGACGTCATCGCGATGGCATGTCCAACAATAATTGTCTGATACGGGCTACGGGATAAATATTGATTAGATTCAATCAGAAGAAAATTCAACGCATGTTTTCGTTTGAAAAGAAAATCTAGGACACATTTCATGGCGTAATTGAAAAGAAAATAGGTCAAGTCGTAAGTCGCCCAACAGACTATACAGAGTGAAAGTAAAGTCAAACAACAAACTGTATAGAGTAGAACTACAGTTAAAGATGAAACTGAAACGTTGAACTAAAACAGGGCCGTAGCGTCCATAGGGGCGCAAGGGGCTGAGCCCCCTCTGGAATTTTCTGAGCCCCCCTGGAGTTTGGCGATTCTTATTTGAAAAATTAGAAACATTACGCCACATAATCAAATGCAAAATTGGATTGAAATTTACTCAACGAACGAATGTACAATCAAATTCACAAAATGAAGAAAAACAACGACACGCATTTGATATAATACTGGATTTGACTTTGTCTGAAATGTCGCGTCGTTTCAAGGAAAATTCGGATGTTCTGATCGCATTGGATTCTGTATTCGAATTTGACCTTATGCCACTCGCAGATGTTGGGACCAAAGTTCCAGAAGAAAGTGAACTGGTACAAATTTCAATTTCCTTCAAACTATTTCACCGTTAGGAAGCACATTTACAGACACTTGCCAATTGATTGAAGCCGTAGAAACATTTGGCTGTTCTACAGTCATTTGTAAATCATCATTCTCAACGCTCAACCGAATCATTCCGGGACGAATCAGCATGACATGTGATCGAATGAAAAACCTGACTTTTTTGGCATTCAAAAAGGAACGCTTGAAAAATATTGATAACATGGAAATTTTGAAGGAATTCGATGCAAAAAAAAATCGACGCGTCCGTTTATTTTACTGTGCAATAATATGGGCGAGGGTCAGGTCGGTAACGTTACAATTCGCACGCCTATT